TTTGTTTTAATAGTAAATTTTTTTGAATAGTAAATAAAAAAGCAAATTTACAGAAACATGATTTATGTTGAAAGTATACTGACCTCAGGGGGAATAATTAACTACATAAGCAAACATGAAAAACCAGTCTAAAACACACTTTATAAGCTATGCAAGTTAACTGCCCTAATGGTTTTTTGCAAGGGCTATTGACATTTGTACAGATTGGTTTGATATTTATAAAAATTTTAACAAAGTTAAAATGATTTTGATAAAAATTTTAACAAACTTAAAATGATTTTAATAATAGTTTTTAATAGTTATAGTGTACTGTTTTATTTTCTCTCAGATCATTACACTCAATTTTATTTGTTTTTTTTTTTTACTCTGCTGAAGTTCCAATAGATTTTTTTGCGAGTTGTTTCTTTACTCTCAGAGTTTTTTCAATTTCATGTTCAGTTTATTCTGTTTTATTTCTATTTTTACCTTCTGTTTTATTCTGTCTTTATTCCAGGCAAATTTTTGATTTATTGATATTAGAGACTGTTGATGTCAAGAGATGTGGTGTTGTGGTGCATAAGTAAATTCTACTTGGTTGTCTGGTATGGTCTCATTATGTTTTTGTCTACTTTCAAATTTAGTAAATAGTAAGCCTTCTCTCACTTCTTACGCTTATGGGCTGACGCATCAAGGCCATGGGTGAGAATTATGGAATGGATTTCTACTGATCAAATGCTTCTAAAAGTCCGATCTAGTATGAAATGATATTCTTTAAAGTGAGATTTTGGATCCAAGGAACTCAGCGGGCATTTATTTAATGCGCATTTTGGAGATTCCGAATGAACATTTGTGTGAGTGTCAGCCGACTCATTAAGTTATTAAGTGCCATAACCACCTCCAGTGTTATAGTCTAATGTCCATTTTGTCATGGTAGTATACATTGGAAAAAGTTGGAGCATCACAATTATGGCGACACAATAAAACAATATAAGTAGATAAAATTGTAAGAAAAATAATAATAATAGTTCAGATATTATAAAAAGAAAAAGAATAAATATGCTTCAAACTCTAAATCCTTTGTTTATGCAGAGTGCTAATTCATTAAGATACACTGTAAAACTTTACTATGAAAATCACGGTACTATATCCTCACCCATAAGTAACAGTATTGTACTGTGATTATTTTTCAGTAGAACACAGTGAATAAATTATGGTAAAACGCCGTTTTTTTACATTAGAATACTGTGATTATTCTGTGATGAAACAATGTGAATTATGGCATAGTACCATGATTAATTTACAGAAATGTCTTGTTCATTTATTGTAAAATATATATTGTACAATATAAATCGGTACAAAATATATTTTTACTATATTTTCAAAAAAATTTTGTCTATTTCATTTTGTCTTTTTTTTTTCATTTCTTTCCATTGTATTGTATTTTTTTCAGTTGTATTTTCAATTATAAATATCTATCAACATGTATGCTAATGGTAACAAAAATACGTCATATTTTTAAAAAACTTTTTAGTTATATTGTTTACATGTTCATAAATATAAATTAGATTATAAATTAGATTTTCTGATATTTGAACTTATGAAAAGTGTGGAAACATCCATAATATATATTTTTTTATTTTTGCTTTTATTATATTATTAAAAATAATTATTGTTGTTTTTATTATTATTGTTATATTAATTATTTTATTGTTATAAATATTATCTTTATTTCAGAATATATACATATACATTGATCGATTTCAGTCCCAAAACTCAGATAAAGTAAATGCTCATCACACAGATTGGCTTGGCTGTAGTGTCAGTGGTTCTGCTGGTATTAAAGCCCACAACTTTTGCCTTTCTTAATCCCTAACTCAAATAATCAACTTTGCAACTCGCTTTCTGGACAACCCAAATCATTTACCTTCTCTACTCGATTTATGTCTTGTTTCTGATGGTTGAAGTTTCTCCACATTCACTAAATCTCTAAAACTATCTCCTTCTTCATCATCTGAATCCCCCTATCATGGTACCTTTTACAACTACCTTAAAGCTGGCTGGGACTTTTTCTGTGATTTTCTTCGTGATGGGCCTTGGGTAGAAATTTTTTGTCTTCCTGTTGACAAATGTGCTTCTTAAATAACTTCGTGGATTCAGGCTGGCATCGTCCCTCTAGACGATTTCAGGTCAAGCCTCACACTTCATGGTTTTCCTCACATTGTGCTGGTTCAATTTCCAATTGAAATCATTACTTCCATATCTATCAGCAAAACAGTTCTCCAGAAAACAGACATCTGTTTATTACTACTAGAAACCATTGTAAAAAGGTTTTGTCTAACCCCAAAGCCTGCTATTCTCAGGTCATGAAATCTCATATTTCATCACAAAAATTAGGCTCTCGTGACTTCTGTAGAATCTTTAACAGTATCAAGAATAAGGGCAAGTCTGTTATTCCACCTCTCTTGTATGGTTCAGACTTTGTCTCCTCATCTAAAGACAAAGCTGAATTGTTTGCTAAGAACTTTTCCTCAATATCATCTCTTGATTCTATTAATTGCGTTTTCCCTGATTTAGCCGTCAAACATGTTAATCCATTGCTTGACATTCGTATCACTCCAGCTTCTATATCTAAAGTTATTTCCTGCTTAGACTCTTCTACCGCTTGTGGCCCGGACAACATACCTGTTATAGTCTTGCAGAAGTGTTCTCCGGAGTTGTCGTCGATACTTTCAAAACTATTCAGCAAGTGTTTATCACAGTTTTGTTTTCGAGCCTGCTGGAAAGCATCATCTGTTATTCCTATTTTCAAAAATTCTGGAGAGCAATCTGACTTGTCTAACTACCGTCCCATTAGTCTTCTTCCTATCATAAGCAAGATTTTTTAGTCTTTGATTAACAAACATTTAATCTCTCATCTTGAATCTAATAACTTACTTTCTGTTTATCAATATGAATTTTAATCTTCTTGTTTTACGGCTGATTTGCTAACAGTAATAACCGATAGGTTTTATTGTGCATTAGATAAAGTTGGAGAGGTTAATGACATCACTCTTGACATTTCTAAAGCTTTTGATAAAGTTTGGCATGCTGGTCTTCTCCATAAGCTTTCTTCTTATGGTATATCTGGTAACATCTTTAAGATTATTGAATCCTTCCTTTCCGATCGTAGTATAAAGGTTGTCCTTGAGGGACAGCACTCTTCTTCATATCCTGTAACTTCAGGGGTCCCTCAAGGTTCGATCCTTGGCCTGTACTCTTTTTAATTTACAACAATGATCTTTCAAATATTCTCACATCTAAGGTGGCATTGTTCGCTGATGATACTACCATTTTTCTTGTCATGATAAGAAGCCAACACTCTCTGATTGCTCGGAGGATACATTTGAGCTTGAAAAGAATCTCACTTCTGCTACAGCATGGGGCTCACAGTGGCTGGTGAACTTTAATTCAAAACTCAATTTTTTTCAGCCAATTTAGATACAAATAATTTAAACCTATATTTATGAATTGTAATGTACTTGATGAGTAATCTACCCTTCATCTTCTAGGATTAACTCTTATTTCTGATTATTCTTGGAAACCATATATCAAATCCGTTGCAAAATTAGAATCCGCTAAGGTTACATCTCTTTATCGAGCTCAACAATTTCTTACTGCGGATTCTATTCTCTATCTCTATAAATCTCAAATCCAGCCTTGTATGGAATACTGTTGGCATATCTGGGGCAGATCTTCTAATGATACCCTTTCTGTTTTAGACAAGGTGTAAAAAAGACCTGCTCTTGCAGCCAACCTCCAACCATTACTACATTGTCGTAATGTTGCTTCTCTTTCTCTTTTCTACAAATACTATAATGGGCACTGCTCTTAAAAGCTAGCGTCTCTTGTACCATCTACTAAATTTATTGTGTTGTTCAATTAAGTTTCATCCTTTTTCTGTGACTGTTCCTAAGTGCTCTAAAAACTCTTTATTTGTCTAGTTTTTTTCCTCGAGCATCAGTTATTTGGAATTCGCTTCCTTCATCTTGCTTTCCTGATTCATATAATTTGCAATCTTTTATGTGTCTGTCAATCACTATCATACTTCACAATCTTTATCTTTTCTCTTCCAGTAACTTCCTACTCTAATTAGTGGTTGCTTGCAGTCTTGTTAGAAGGGAAGATGTTAAAAAAAAAATGAATATACATAAGTTGAAAAAAAGCGCAAATTCCAAATATCTGACATATATCTGATATATCAATATATTTATTTATATTAGAGTTTAACAATGTATTAAATTCAAAAATAAAACAAAAGTTATTATTATAAAACTTTTGGAAAATTTACAAATAAATATAAATAACTACATTATAAATTGTTTTTTCATTTGATTCAGTTGATTAAGGTATAATAAGATAAGTTATTAAGGAGTTTATTGTGGTAAATTTCAAGTCTTCTTCATTTGCCTTGATTTGCTCTCTTTTTCAGAATTGATGCCGAAAAATGCACTAGAATGATCAAATGCACTGGAATGGTCAATAGTATATGTATAAACAATTTATGTTTGATAACATTCTCATCAATAAATAAAAAATACCATAAAATTCAAATACAATATACCTTAGACAATTGAATAAATTTAATTAAGCATAATATAAACATAATATACCATTGACAAAACTCTAATATCGATGAAGCTTCTCTAGGATATGGTATATTGAAAATATAAAAGCTCGAAAACAAATAACAAAATGATTTGACAAAATTGGTTAATAAGTTTTTACACAACCTGGTTCGAAACACATCCATCAATATTTGGCAGTGTTTTTAAATATTACTTTTAATAATCTTTTAAAATTCTTAAAAAACGGAGTTTTCCAAATAAGTTCTTATAAAACTTTCTACAACAGAGTTTTCCAAATAAGTTCTTATAAAACTTTCTACAACTTATTTTTAATTGGTTCTTACGACAGGTTCTTACCACTGTTTCTTATATATAAAAATAAATATAGTAAATAAAAATAAAATAGTTTACAAATAAAATCATTTATTATGATTTTGCCAAATAAAATATATAATTTTTTAAAATTATTTGTGTAAATAAATAATTTTAAAAATAAGTTATTTGAGGAGCATGACAAAGAATGCTTTAAGGAAATAAAAGAGTGAATGCAGTGCTTGTAAGATGGTAATGTAAGATAGCAAGCATTATATGTTAAATCTCATTTTTTCTCCACAGACACATACCAAGCTCATGTACTATTTGTGTGTGTTCTGCTCATTAACAACTTAATTCCATGTGTATCAAAAAAAAAGGAACAAAATTCTTGCAAAAATAGAAAGTTCATGATCCTTCATAAAGTCAAAAATCAAGAATAAATCTTTTTTGTAATGAATATTGCCTTGATAGACAATATGGGTCAGAAATGTATCTGGCAATTGTTTTAGATCTTCATAACTTGTGTGTATATATGTGTGTGTATATATATATATATGTGTGTGTGTATATATATATATATATATATATATATATATATATATATATATATATATATATATATATATATATATATATATATATATATATATATATATATATATATATATATATATATATATATATATATATATATATATATATATATATATATATATATATATAGAGTATATATCTAAGATGTAGCTGAACTTTGGCTATATCTTAGAAATATCTTCAGCCTGAAGATACACGTGTTTTATATATTCAATCTACTATCCTTATATTATAAAATCAAGTGTAACAAGAATTCTCATTGAAATAAATAATATATTTATATTTATATATAATTATAAAATAATATTATTTTATAAATTGTAGGATGAATTATTAAGACATATATTTCAAATTTTTCAAGACAATAATATTTCAAATAGAAATTATTAAAAAATCATGCTAACACTAAACATTAAAAAAAAACAAAAATGGCAATCCATACTTACTTAAAATCTCTCAAAAATTTCAGGGTAGTCTACGGTGAAGTAGTGAAACGTTGTCGTAAGTTAGTGTTCATGGCCAAGGTACTGTAAAAATTATGGTATTGTACTGTAAAATGGGTTCACGGTGCAATCGTGTTAATCACGGTGTTGTACAGTGAATTTCACAGTAAAGTTTTACAGTGTATAGTGTTGGTATGTCAATAAAATGTAACTTATAAATCTAGTATAAGTCATGGTTTAACCATTAGACTAGTAGTAATAAATTAAAAACTCACTACCACCTGTGAAATGGTATATTGATCACCAGACGAGCTAGAGACATGCACTAATGCCACTTATCAGGGGTGTGTCCTTTTAACGGATTTCATTGCCTCTACATTAATGCTAGTCAATATTCCAGTATAGCTGGAGTATACTACAAAATCCAATTTTACCCCAACCTTATCCCAACCTTTTGTTCAGCTCCAACATTTTTCAGAGATCTTGTAAATGTGGTAAGAGATGCATGTGGACTAATTTTTAATAATTAAGTTTTCAATTATTAATTTTTGTCAATAGATTATAAAAAGAAAATTTATTAATAAATAGATAACTTTTAATAATGAAATTTTAAAAATTTAACTTGATTCCAGGTAAAAAGAGGCACACTGCAGACCCAAATGCACCTAAATCTGATAGAATACCTTTTCCAAAAATGTATGTTGAATATACAAATATGTTTTTTATTTATACTTGAATTTTAGGTTGGGGTAAATTTTTAATTTATTCTTAAGTAATGTTTTATTTTTTTTTTTTTTTTTTTAATACTCTAATACAAAGTTGCTTTTTTTAATCTTTAATTATTTCTACATAGATAACCTATTTTAATTATAACATATTCCATATACATTATATTAATATATTCAATGGTAAATGTTTTTTTAATAATTATTCTTAGGAAAGATTCTGAGAAACGTTTCAATTTAATGATGTATAAGGATATATCAAAAAGATTGCATGTTGGTCCAAATAAAATTCCTTCAATATGTTTTTATACTTTTCTTAATGCCCAAGACAAGTAATTTTTTATTTTTTTTTTGAGGGGAGGGAGGGTGGACAAGAGTAAGAAAATACTCGTTATTATTGAATTGTAGTTTTTCTGTTGAATTTTAAATAAAAATGATATTTATGATGATTAATATAATTTTATAATTTTTAGTTTAAATTGTGTTGAGATTAGTGAAGATTCATCTTTAATTGCTGCTGGATTTGATGACTCTAGCATTAAAGTATCAACTCTTAATCCAAAAAAACTGCGCACTTTAAAAACTGTTAATGAACTTGCAAAGATTGACAAGGAAGCTGATGATGTGTTAGAAAGAGTTATGAACGAAAAGTAATTTTTAAAGTTGTTAATGAGAAACATATATTTTGCAAATATTACATTATCAAGCCTTGTGATAAAGTGTTATGTGTTTATGCATTTCACATTTTTTGTAGGTCTATGCTATTTACAACATACCAAAACTTTGTCTAAAGATATTTTTTTATCATTTTGATTAATAAAGTAATTAACATTTTAAAAACTACTCATCATTGTTACAAAAATTTTTAAAACTTCACACCATAATTGCAAAAGCTTGAATAACTTTACATCATGATTACAAAAGCTTAAAAAAACTGCACATCATAATTACAAAAGCTTAAAAAAAAGCACATAATTACAAAAGCTTAAAAAACTGCACATCATAATTACAAAAGCTTAAAAAAACTGCACATCATAATTACAAAAGCTTAAAAAACTGCACACAATTTTTATACAATAATGCATATCATTATTGATAAACATTATTGTATAACACTGAATACATTTTTTATTTTAAGTATGTACAGTTAAAATAAACTAGTCTATGTAAAATGTAAAATATATATATAATAAAAATATAGCTCTCAAAATATTTAATTTAAATTTAAATGAATTATAGAAATAATTTCTTTTTAAATGTTTTAATTAACAGATTGTGTGATATCCAATAAGTGCAGATGTATGATGACAATTGGCCTTTGGAGATCTTTGAGTACTTCATTAAGCATTTTGATGTAATCAAAAAAGTTTTTTTTGTCTGGCATCCATTTTCCGTGTGTGATAAAATTTCGTTTTGACATCTATTTACTATTCAAACACAAATAAATTTAAACTTACTGACACAAGCATTAGCAACATGGAAGTTACAATAAGATGAAACATCTTTAAATAGTAAATGACTTTACCATCCATCTTGCTCTATGCATAGCTCCAGGGGCCTTAAAATTGATTCCTTTCAAAGGAACTTCACCAATAAAAATTATTGAAATCTCCTATGCCCCATTCTTCTAAAGTAGTTATAATAGCTTGAGATTGTTGAGTTCTTAAACACTGCATTTCTGTCAGAAGCTTTAGACCTATTTATATTGGTAATGCAGCAGTGATTACTTTTCTTGATGCCCCTTTTTGCTTCTTTGGTTGATATATCTCCTCCCAAAATTTGATTTTTGCAATCCTCCCATTTGCAAAAATCAAATGGTTCAATTATTTGGTTTTACTGCAGGGCTAAGAACCAGTCTAACATATATAATATGTATTAGTCCAAAAAAACCTTTTCTAAGTGCACATTGGAACCTCCTATCTACTAAAATGAAGGTTTGGTAAAAAATTATGTTGTTTGAAGCATTTTTAGAGGTTGAACAAGTCATTCAAAGTTTCTGATTGCATTACAAAAAGCAACTGTTTGGAGGATTACTCTATTTCATATGAATATCAACAGCAAACAATTTATTCTGTTGTAACCATTGAACTTACTAAATAACAACTGACAGTTATATCAGTTTTAATTATTTCTCTATTTATTTTCAATCTCTTAAACAAAAGAATATCTGAACCAATGGATGTTGCTTTTTTTTATTATAAAATTCCATAATGAAATTCAAATCATTGATTCCATAATGAATTCATATCATTGAAATATGTGCACATGTCAGCATAATTTCTTTTATTATAATCGAGTTGTGGTTCCTACAACACTGATTGATTAGTATCTCTAATGTCAAAATGTAATGATGTGTTCTATATAAACTCGATAATAATAAATCATACAATATACTAAAGGATATACTATATATTGATACTAAGATACTGATATACAAAGTCATACGATATACTGAATGATATATGATATACTGAACGATATACAATATACTGATATACTGATGAAACTTTCATTTTGTATTCTTTAAGTTAGTAAACCATTTATAGATGTATAAATGGTTTACTGGTAATGGTAATTACATGTTGTAATGGTAATTACATCTACTATTAGGTGTAATTTCTGATCGAATTGACCATACCCTCTCTCCAATATTGTTGTTATTAATGACTTTAATGCTCATCACATTGAATAGCTTGGCTCTAATGTCATTTACCCTCCTGGCATTAAAGTCTATAACTTTTGCATTTCTCAATCTTCTTACTTAGATTATTAACTTTGTGACTCGATTTCCTGACAACCTTAATCATTTACCTTCACTCCTTGATTTATGTCTGGTCTCTGATCCTAGCTTGTGTTCAGTTTCCTCTTTTTCTCCCTTAGTTGGTTCTGACCATGCAATGATCTCTTTAAATCTTTTATCTCATACTTCATTTTTAGACTCACCCTATCATTGCACTACTTACTACTGCCCTAAAGCTGATTGGGGCTCTTTTTTTGATTTTCTTTGTGAAGATTCTTGGGCTAATGTCTTTTCCCTCTCAGCTGAAAAATGCGTCTCCTACGTAACCTCCTGGATTCAGACAGAAATAAAAGCTTTTGTTCTTTTTCGTCAGTTCCAAGTCAAGCCTCATTCTACTCCATGGTTTTCACCCTCTTGTGCAGCTGCAATATCTAATCGTAATCATTTTTTTCATCTTTTTCAAAAGAACAACTCTCTTAAGAACAAACAGCTATTTATTAAGAAATCGATGTAAAAAGGTGTCAGATGCTAAGTTCCATTATTCTCACTAAATCTCGTATTTTATCTCAGAGACTTTTGGAAAATCTCAACTGCGTTTGTTGAGATTTTCCAAAAAGGTCTAATATTTCATCTCTCATTCATGGGGTAGATCTTATTACCTCTCCCAAAGGTAAGACAGAACAATTTGCAACTTTTCTTCTATTTCAAATTTCCTATCTTATAGCCATTCTAGAAAGTTTTTGAGATTATCAAATCGTTTCTTTCTAACCACTTTGTTAAAGTCATCCTTGAAGGCCAGCACTCTTCTTTATTTCCAGTAACTTCTGGGGTACCTCAAGGTTCTATCCTTGGTCCTTTTTCGTTTCTTATCCAGATTAACAATCTTCCAGACAACCTTACATCTAAAGTAGCTCTTTTTGCTGATGACTCAACTTTATACTCTTTTCTTGACAAAAAGTCTTCTCTTTTTGATCGCTAAGAACAGCCAGCTGATCTAGAATCTGATGTCACTTCTGTAACAAATTGGGGCTCACAGTGGCTTGTATATTTTAACCCTAACAAAACTCAGTTATTTACTGCATAAAATCACAGTACTGTTTACATTCCTTTTTAGAGTTCTCTTCTCTATGTCTTCTTGGGTTATTGTTACTACTGACCTTTTACATTAAATGGCACAGATAAATAAAAATTGAAAAAATTGAATAAGAAAGATTAGATTTATAATTTTTTAAGATTTAAAAGGTTAGATTTGAAAATCTAGAAAATAGTTGTAATAATAACACTTTAAATATTAAATAGATCTTGAAAGTAGTTACATAATAGTTATAATAACACTTTCAATATAAAATAAATATAATAAATTTCAATAGTAAAATTCAGTATTGAAATAATAAAACATATACAGCTAAAGTAATACTTTTGAATAGATCAGCAGCAGAAAGTCGTCAGTTGTATGGGCATTCAGGACCTGTATTTGGTGTAAGTTTTAATCATGACAAAAGTTTCTTACTATCTTCTTCAGAAGATGGATCAGGTTAGTTTCTAATTAGTTTTTTATTAACAAACACAACTTTAGGCATAACTGCTTTAAGTGCAATTTTTTGAAACTTACTAAAGTGCAAGTTACTTTTAAATTACTGCAAATTGACGCAATGAGTTTCTTACTTTTTTTCATGTTTAATACAGGTAATCTGATGTGCTTGTCTTTTGTGCCAATTTTAAAATTGTTTGGTGTACATTTTTTAGTTTGTATTTTTAAGGGTTTATGCTTAGGCAAGTTTCTGTATGGTTTACAGCCTACTTGTTCTGTTGCAAGCAAGTAGTTATCCATAATGCTGTATTAACTGATAAGCATGTTTTAAATGGGTTTCCTTAAAAATCAGTTTCTCATATTTGTTTTGTTTTAGTAACAAAATTATGATTATTATTATTATGTAACTGATTCCAAAGTTAATAAAAGCAAGTTTTTAAAATTTTAAAATGTATTTCATATTAGTTTACTTTTTTACTGTATTGATATTTTATTATGTAAGTGATTCCAAAGTTAATAAAAACAAGTTTTTAAAATTTTTAAATGTATTTCATATTAGTTTACTCTTTTACTGTATTGATATTTTATCAAGTCTTTGAAAAGTTGTATTAAAATTTTATAAATTTGTAAAAAACTTCATTATAAATAAATTCAATTGGGTTGCATGTTTTATAAAAGTTTTAACTCAAAATATCAGTGCTGCTTTAGCAGTATTACCGTAAAACATCAAAAAGGTGTTAAAAAAATAAGACTTTTTTAAAATTGATTTAATATTTAAAAAACATTTTTCTATAAAATGCATATAAAAACACTTTGACTGTTTATATTAAATAAATTGATTTTATTGAATCTTTAGTTATGGAGCAAATTATATAAAACAAGTAGGATGTAACCAATTGAATTAAACAAGTAGGTTGTAGCAAATTATATAAAACAAGTAGGATGTTTTATAAATTATATAAAAAAAAAGTAATTATTCGGCAAAAAAAGTCTAAAAATTTAAATTAAGTAAAATGTACAAGAAATTTTAAAAATACTCTACAAAAAAAAATTCTATTGCATTTAAAATTTTTTTTTTTAGTTCGTTTATGGAGTATGCATACTTTTACAAACTTAGTATCATGGAAAGGTCACATTTACCCTGTTTGGGATGTCCAATTCAGGTAAATAAAATGATACATTTTTCCTGTTTGTCCAATTCAGGTAAATAAAGTGATACATTTTTCCTGTTTGAGATATCCAATTCAGATAAATTAAATAGTGCATATTAAATGAAAAAACATTCAATAAAAAAAATTAACAATTCCTTCAGAAAATATTTTAATACTTCCGTTGTTTGTTTGTTTTTAATTTTATTAAAAGTTAAAATTAGTTTTAATGTAGTTTAATTTCAACATTTAATTAAAATAACTAAATTAATTTTAATATTCTATTAAAATAAATTCCATTTAAAATAATATATTAATTTAATAAGTTCTTTAAATTAATAAATTTAATATATTTTTTATAAAAAGTTTTAATTTTAAATATTTTAATAAAAATAATCAAAACTTTTTATTCCTTTAATAAATTTAACTATGTTATTTTTTTTTTAAGTCCACGTGGATATTATTTTGTTTCTGGCTCCTATGATCGTACAGCACGGTTGTGGTGCACCGAAAGTTCTCAATCATTACGTATTTTTGCTGGCCACCTAAGTGATGTTAATGTATGTAGTGATTCTTTTTTTAAATTTTCTTTCTATATCGTTTTTTTTTTAATTATTTTTTGTTTATAAGATATTTTTAATTATACATAATAATTATACAATATGTACACATTCATTTATTATTTGTACAATATGTACACACTAGGGTTAATAAATTAAGATTATTAGTAATTATTATATTAATAATTATGTTTATTAATACTATATTATAATAGTACTAACTAGTCAATTGAGATAAAAAGATTAAAATATGAAAAGATAACACTCATAAATTTTGTTATCAAAAATCAACTATTAATACATAAGTTTATTTTTATAATAATTAAAAAATTTTATATTGCTATATAAAAGGAATAGTAATATTTTTTTCCTGAAAACATATTCAATATTGACAAATCAGGCTGTGTAAATATTGACAAAGGTGTTCAATATTGACAGTAAACTAGCAGTTTTCGACATGTTTTTATGATGTATGTTTTTCCTTGTTATTTTGTCATGGTCTCAAAATTACATTTAATTCAGACCGTAGAGAAAACTTTACTTTTCGGAAATTTCGATTTAGATGTGGTTTCAAAATTACTTTTAATTCGGACCATAGAGGAAATATTATTTTTCGGAAATTTTGATTGAGATATGGTCTCAAAGTTACTTTTAGTTCGGACCGTAGAGAAGACTTCACTTTTTAATAATTTTTTTCCCACTTTGTACATCGTTTTTACATTACGACTTATATCATTGTTATATTATCCATGGCTAGTTTTTTAACCACTCATTTGGCTTTTTTTTATCTGGTTTTATTGCATTATTTGGTTTTATTGCATTATCTGGTTTTATTACATTATTTTGGTTTTATTGCATTATTTATATTATATTTTATTTTGGTTTTATTGCATTATTTATATTACATTATTATATTGGCTTTATTGCATTATTTGGTTTTATTGCATTATCTGGTTTTATTGCAATATTTTGTTAGTCTTGTTGCAGTGTTTGATATATTATTTATCTCCTGATTTTCATATTATTACTGTTTGTTGCATTCATTGCTCAGCTTTGTTTTAATTTTCCCATGCACATTTTTCATCTTTATTATTGCGCTTACATTTTTAAAGTTTTTGTGCAATGTTCTTTTTTGCTATCATATATTTTTCAATTATTGTTATGATTATGGGTTTCGTGAGCTGCTCATTTTCCTACACTTTTGATTGGTTGTCATATTTCGAATGAGATATCTATGACAGCGTTAGAGTTTATTTAAGGCTATTGTTGTTTTGTTGATTAAAAAAAATTTTTATAATGAGGTATACTGCTTTCTGATAATAATACCTATTTGGTTTTATTTCTTAAAATAAATTTATGAAAATTTTTTTTTATGTTTCTATTAGAATTTTAATTCATTTTGTTTTCATGTTTTCTTTTGGTGGTATGGTAAGTTTTTTATTTAATTATTTTTATTTTTGTTTGTTCAGTAAATCTACACTTTTTATATCATATCATCAAAAAAAATATTGGTGCTTTACAAATTTGGGGTTAGTTAGTTTTTGGCTATTTGTAGTGAGTCCTTTTTTACTGCAGTATGGAATAGACGTAAGTTGCGGGGTAAAGCATAAGTGGCAATGACGTTTGTCTGACGGGATAAATTTGTTATAAATGCTGATCCTCATTGAAAGGCCAGTAATAATAGACGCGTCTCTGAGGAGATGTTTATTACTTAATCACTACACAAATAATGTTTACACATTAGCATTAATGTTTTTTTTTCCATTAATAAATGCCTTTCATTGTTGTTATCATATTTTTTATTTTGTGATCGGTCTTTTGTTTTATAAGTTTTTGTCTGGTGATGTATATCTTCGTTCATATTGGTGTTTATAAAACACCAATATGAATTACCAATAATAAAAAATACCAAAATTGTTTTTTTTTTTTCTTCTAATTTATTTTTATTGTTATTATTGTTGTGGGTGCATAGCCTGTCTTATTTATTTTTAAATATTTCTCTATTAATCTTTATTTTTGTCTTGACAACTGTCAAAATATGCTTTGTCTAATAAATAATTCTCCTTTAATCTAATGTACTTCATTCCTTTCCTCAGGCATTTACTGCTTGTGTGTGACCATTTGGCAAATTTTATATGCCAAAGTTTTTAAATAATATTGGGCCTAGCCCGTAAGGGTTAGTGTTACGGTCATCGAGCACGACTATTTTCCTAATCACAATTACTGTCACCGCGAAAGAGGATGTTTGTCTGTGGAAGATGCCTGGGCTAGCTTTTTAGTCATAAGTCAGTTCTAAATACATGCATAGGTGTTTAATTCATCATGGTTTTCTGGAGTATGGTTGGGCTGGCTTGGTTTAGTTCAGAGACCAATCTTTTACGCTGGTTACTAACAATACAAGACTCTACTGAACGACTTATACATTACACCTATATACCCTTATGCACATACAGCCTGTTTACATCGTTTACATGCTTTTTGTTCTTTCATAGATAAACTATCTTTGTTTGAACTCATCCTTATTTAAATAATATTTTCTTTTAATAGATAATATGTGGTTGAAATGTTGATATAGATTTGTATGTTATCTATATGTGTTTATCATGTGTGATTGAGTTTTTCATTTAAGGATTCATATATATATATATATATATATATATATATATATATATATATATATATATATATATATATATATATATATATATATATATATATATATATATATATATATATATATATATATATATAAGAGCGATTCTTATAAACTAGCGGCTTTTGACATGTTTTTATGGGAAAGCGGAATAGTATTGAAAATTAGCTGATCGAAAAAATGATTAGTATCGAAAAATAACTGACCGAAACTCATTTTAATGATTAAGATCGAAAATGTGATTTTCAGATTAATATCGAAAAGTTTTTATATCGAAATTCACAAATTTGGAACAATATCGAAAACAATAAAAACGGAATAAGATCGAAAACTCATTTAACTGATTAACATCAAAAATATGATTTTCTGATTAATGTCGAAAACAATAAAAACAGAATAAGATCGAAAATTTTTAATTGTCAAAAATTCTTTTTAATGATTAACATCAAAAATATGATTTTATGATCACACTTTTATTTTATAAAAAATTAGTACTAGGAGAAAATCTTAAGAAATTTTTAATACTAAGTCACTTTTCAAAAAGAAACTTATTTAAGAGTTCGATGAATATTTCCTAACTTTTCACCCTAATATCGCATCAGCTTAACAAAGTTAGCATTACCTACAATGGAGAACAGCAGTTTAAATGAACAGTTAATTTGCACACGCAATAAACAGTTTAATTTGCACGTGCAATAAAATTCCGTTCGAATTAAAACTTAAAATTAAAGAAACTTTTAAGAAACTCAATATTCTAAAATATCGTTAGAGAACTTATCAAAAAACTATAATGAAACTGAAGGAGAAAGAAAAAATTCAAATGTGTTTTGGTCTGGTGATTTTGGATAAACTAAAGATAAACTTTATAAAGACAAACTGCATCTTAAGTGTCGTTTTTTTACAAGAATGAACTGCAAAGGCAGAGCTTTTATTCATGAAGATAAACTTCAGGTTACAACTGTTCACAGTTGCAGTTCAAGAGAAACAGACTTTGAAGTGATGCTTGCTAAAAGTACCATGAAGAAAAAAGCAGAAGCAACATCTGAAGACCTGCGTTTAATTTTTCAAAACACTTTGAGTGAGTTTTCTGCAGTTGTTTCTAAATCTGTTAGTTTTCGTCAAATTATCCCAAGTCTTCAGAAAAGGAGAAGGCTAAATGAGCCTTCAAACCCAAAATCACCTAATGAAGCTGCTGAGGTTCTGAATGACAAAGAGTCCCATCGCTATGGAGACATTTTCTTGGGATCAGTTGCAGAAAAGGATAACGTAGCATTGCTGTTTGGGCATATGCTAGTCATCAACAAGGCGAAATCGGTCAAAGTGTGTTTTGTTGATAAAACATTTAGGTATTTATACGTATGCATTTAACTTTTTCAAAAAATATTTATATATTTATACATATATTTATCTAGGGGGCTGTCCATTAATTACATCAACAAACTTTTGGGTATTTTTACATTACCCCCTCCCCCATGTCAACAACTTGTTAAATTTCCAGAGACACTTCTTTCCCCTATAAAGTTATGTCAATTTTTGATAACCCTTCTCCCCTAAATAAAGACGCTGCGCTAAAAATGCAGGCAAATTTTTCTTTTTTTGAGTAACGAAATTAAAAAAAATAAAGAAATATTGTTGATGTCAACTTTACTTGACCTCCTCCCCTCACCCTTAGCAAAAATTTTCAAAAAAATTTAGACACCTTTTTCCTTATTTTTTTAACATTATTAATGGACAGCCCGTAGACGAAAAAAGTGATATATTAAAAACGTTAGGTAGAACACTTTTATTTACAGTTGTAAATTATAGTTACATTTATTGTACTTCCAGCATGACACCACGCATGAAGGAAAGTAAGTGGTATCAGCTCTTGATATTTTCTGTTGAGTATTCAGCAGTACTTGAAGATCCAATTCCAGATGAGGATAAGATGAATTTTGATCCTGAAAACCCTCACCTTTGGGGAATATCTGTTCCAGCTGTATGCGCTTTAATGACATCGAAATCCGAGGCTCTATACAAGCTTGTTTTTTCCAAAATAAAAGAAGTTTTAGATTTCTCTCGAGTCACCATTATGTCAGATTTTGAACGAGGACTACAGAATGCTTTAAAAACAACTTGGAGTGAAAGCTTGGTGAATGGTTGCAGGTATAAGTTATTACTTTGTTATTACTTAGTTTCCAGTCTCTAAGTTATCCAAGTTTTTCAGAGTTGGTTATCATTTAATGATCTCCTTTAAACCCTTATCTTTAAGTTTCATTTCGAAAATGCAATCACCAAGCAATTAGCAGTTCTTGGTCTTCAGAGGGAATACCGCCACCAAATTCAAGTAAAGAAGTGGGCACGAAAAGTTTCAGCACTTTGTCTCCTTCCTGCAAACAAGATCTTGGTTGCTTGGGGATCTCGAGTTATTGAGATTGCACAATTTAGTCGCGAAATCAAAATCAAACTACTTGCTTTTAAAAGGTATTTTGAGAGTTATTAGCTCAATATAGTGACCCCAGAAGGATTCAGTGTTTATGGCTTGAACCACAAAACCAATAACAATGCAGAGAGTCTCAATAGATGTTTGAAATCAAATATGGGTGATCAACATAGAGGATTTTAACAGTTTATGAAATTGCTTAACCAGCATGTAATGGTCCATACAATTCAAGAGCTTCAACAGCTTGCCTGCAATCAGCCAGTCCGCCATGACCAACGCGACTATGGTGCAATTGAAAAAATGCGTTGTTTTGAGAAAAAACTTCGAGATGGAGTTTGGACAACTGAGAGGTTCCTATCAACAGTATCATATCTCTTTCAAAACTTCAAAGTAGTGTAAGATAATAATAGATAAGAAGTGTTATACAAGTTTTTGTATAACACTTCTTATTTATTAACCTTTATCATTTTTTTTACCAAACTAATTAGTTTAACTTTATTTGATAATCTGTTATTTTCCATAAAATATGGAAAATTGTATTTGAAGTTTTTAAATATTTGTAGTGCTTTGAATGAAAACTCAATGAACGAGGTTGGTGAGAGTTCCTTTGCCAACTTCTACTTCAACAGAGTCACTGAAGTGCGTTGTTTGTACCGTCAATGAATGAAATGTATTAGTAATGCCTTGCAGACATTTTTTGTTTTGTCAGCCCTGCATTCAACAAGTCCAACAAAGCAACACAGCTCATTGTCCCACTTGCCGAGGACCAATATCATCTATAATTGAACCTTTTCAATGATTCAGTAAAATTTTCCTTTTTACCTATATTTTAAAAACTAGAATGTCACACAATTGTTTAAATTTATTTTTAAAAATTTATTATATAAAAGCGGTATAAATTTTTTCCTTCTGCTCCGCCTGGAATAAAAAATAATCAATAACGTCATTTTTTAGTTTTCATAAATGACTTTAAATTCTATTTGGACCTACAAGATTTTCCGTAAGTTATCATATTGTATTGGTTTCAGTTAAGCAAACCCCATATTACGTTAAGGATAAGTACTAAGTAAATTCCATCTCCCTAGAAACAATAGTCATTTGCATGTTAAAGTTATTGTATAGATAAATGTAGCATAAAATTCTACAGCTGCTTGTCTAGCAAAATTAAATAAGTTTCCTTGAAGCAAGTGACAGTATCAACAAAAGACTTATCGTGAGGGTTACTATGTTATGATTAGTACTTTCGTGTGCACAAACGTGTTAGAAGCAACTTTTTGCTTTTAACTTTTTTTAACTAGGTTTTAACTTGTCTAGCTAGCTTTTAACTTGTTTAACTAGGTTAAAACTAAGAAGAAGAAAACGAGTGCTAAAACATTTTTGGCCGGGATCATAACTTGTTACAGTCAGCAAAAAAATATATAGAAATTAAACAAAAAACTATATAATTGGAATAAGCTCGTCAAAAAGTATGTGAAAACCATATGCTGAAAATATTTCCTTTCCAAGATATAACACCTTATAGATTATATAAAACACAGACCCAGATTTTACAGACCAGCACAAAACAGCTATAAAAAAGGATTTTTCATCCTTAATTTGCTTTATAATAAATTTGCATTTTGTTTGAAGAGTTGCTATTGATATAAATTTTCTATTAAAAGCTAGTTTCTGTTAAATTTATCACGTCCTTACTGTTGGTAAGGGTGGGGAAAGGGAGGAGATAATCGTGAGCGATTGACATCTTTTTTTTGACCAAATGCTCTTAGTTTCACGTTATAAAAATTAATTAAGATTTTCTATTCTTGACCACAATTTTCTCCGAAACGACCAACCTAACCTCAAAATCTTTACGATATGGGCTTGTATATTTATAGAAGGTTATTAATTGTACTTTTTATAAAAAGTACAATCAATAACCTTCTATACATAAAATAAATTGTTAGAAGATTAGTAAATTTACTAATCTTCATATATTTTGTTCACTAATATATTTTGATATTTTTTTTTTTATAAAGTAAGTGTTTAATAGTTCTTTTTGGAATTTTATGTTTTGCTTACATAAACTTCATATATTTTATTCACTAATATATATACTAATAATTCTTCAAGTTAGTCGAGTTTCCTAAAACGCCTTACAAAATTTTTTATGAATATAATTTGCGAATAATATATTAACAAGTATAATTGAACATGGGGTACGGCATGGGGGTATATCTACATTGGCTATGTCATGGGGGGAGGGGTCAAGGTGGCATTTTCCCTCCCCCTCTATCAGAATTTGTAGTAAGGACGATTTTTTTTTTTATAAAGTAAGTGTTTAATAGTTTTTTTTGGAATTTTATGTTTTGCTTACATAAAATATTTAGTTAACATTCAAGGCAGTGCACAGTAGGCCAGCAGTGAGCAAAAATTTAAAAAATGAGCAAAACCAACCTTTAACAATTCAAAAAATTTTAAACTTTTTTGAAAGTGAGTAACCTGAAGAGAATTTAAATGGTTGTAATATTATGTTTTAGTAAATAGAATTATTGTTAAATTGATTTTATAATGTTAATATTGTTAAATTGATTTTATATGAAGTTATTAATTTTGATCACTTTTTCATGTTTCTGGCTCACTGTACAGTGGGCCTAAAATCATTTTGTTAAAAAATCACTAAAGGGCAAATGTTTTCAAGCATTTAAACAAAGGGGATCTTTGTTATTATTTCCAAAAGATGTCACTAATATTTCTAAGATACAACACGTTATCTATGATAAAAACAACATTGTTGTTGCAAATGATAAATAACATTATTTATAACTGCGTTACTTGGATTTGATTTACAATTTAAGCAGATAAAGAAGCTTGAAAATAAGTGAAGTTTGAACGGTATTTTATGAAGTGCACCACCACTTTTGTGAAATATTATGTTCATAGTTTTGTCATTAACATGGATTTGTGAGTTTTATCATACTTCGCTTTAACGCGTTGCAACACGTAAAATTAAAATATGATAAAGTTCGGGTATAATGTGACTCTTCGTTCACATTTCATTTTGTCATGTTAATGACAAAACTATTTGCATGATATTTCATAAAATTAGTGGTGCACTTCATAAAAAAGAGTTCAAATTTTACTTATTTAGGGTTTGAGCTATTACTGAAAAATTTTCAGAATTTTTTTTTGCTCATTGTTATAAGTTTAACGTCATGGCTCCCGGCCCTAAATGAGAAAAATGTTTCTTCTTAGATTTTTACATATATTCTTGATATTTATAAATGTAAATGAATCTTTACTCTGACAGTTTGAAAAAGGTCTTTTTCTTTAACTTGAGTTAATTTTTGTAGTTTTAACAGAGTTTTTTTTACTCTTGGGCCAATTTGCCCCAAAATGGGAAAACGGGCTTTGTGTATTTTTACATTTTTACCTTGTTTTCCTGAATGGGCGATTGGGCCAAGAACAATCAAAGTTCTGTAGAAGAAATTAGACCTAGTATTTTTACCTATTTTCTTGTTATTTATAAATGTTAATAAATTTGTTTACCCTGACCGTTTGAAAAAACTATATTTCTTTATCTAAAGTTAATTTTTACGGTTTAAACGAAGCTTTTATAGCTTTTGATCCAATTGCCCCAAATGGGTAAACGAGGAGTGGAATTCTTACCTAGGCTTCCCTAATATGAGAATGATAATTTGTAGAATTGAATGCTTTAGTAAAAAAGAAAACAGTAAAAATAATTCAGCATAAGTACTTCAATGAAATTCCTTCTTGATAGCATATGAAAAATTAAATTTATTATCAAAATTTAGTGCCATAATTCCTTAAGAAAAACTCAACAAATCTTGACGCCAAATAGGCATTATTGAGCCCAACATAGATTGTCATAACTTGGGAACCAGTTATCCAAATTTAAAAAATGAACACATTCTGAAAGCTTCTTCATTATCCGCATATAATGGTATTAATTATAACAAGAGATAATTGTAATAGTAAAATCGTGTGAAGTGCCTACTGTAAATAAGATCAATACATTTTGTTTTGAATCGTTTTATAAATAGCCAACAACACAACATTCAATATTTTTTGTTCTACTAATAGAACTTTTTGTTTATATTATACAATTATACAGTGTAATTACTACACTTTAATTAAAAACCACAAAAAACTGCAAAAAACTGCCGTCTATTTATTCTGCTTTAGGAATTTTCAAACCTATTATTAAAATTTACCTTTTCGATATTATTCTGGAAAGTTCTTTTTCGATTTTATTCCTTTTTTCACAGTTTCGATATAATTCCGGAAAGTCCCGTTTCGATATTGTTCCTTTTTTTACAATTTCGATCTAATTCCGTTTTTTGAAATTTCGATACTATTCCTTTATTCACACTTTCGATATTGTTCCGGTAAGTCCTTTCTCAATATTATTCTCTTTTGAGCTGTTTCGAGATTATTCTGCTTTTAGGATTTTCGATACTAATCCTTTTTTAACAAATTTGAAATGTTTTCTTTTTTGATATTATTCCAAAAAGTCCCTTTTCGATATTATTCCTTTTTTCACAATTTCGAGGTTATTCTATTTTTCGGATTTTCGATACAATTCCTTTTTTTACAATTTTGATGTTATTCCCTATTTCGATGTTATTCTGGAAATTCTGTTTTCGAGATTAATCTGTTTGGCTGTTTTCGATACTGTTACTGCTACCCGTTTTTATAATGTATGTTTTTCCTTGTTATTTTGTTATGGTCTCAAAATTACATTTAATTTGGACTGTAGAGAAAACTTTACTTTTCGGAAATTTCGATTTAGATATGGTCTCAAAATTACTTTTAATTCAGACCGTAGAGGAAATATTATTTTTTGGAAATTTTGATTTAGATATGGTCTCAAAGTTTCTTTTAGTTCGGACCGTAGAGAAGACTTCACTTTTTAATAATTTTTTTCCCGCTTTGTACATCGTTTTTACATTATGACTTATATCGTTGTTATATTATCCACGGCTAGTTTTATAACCACTCATTTGACTTAAAATTATCCGGTTTTATTGCAATATTTAGTTAGTCTTGTTGCAGTGTTTGATTTATTATTTATCTCTTGATTTTCATATTATTACTGTTTGTTGCATTCATTGCTCAGCTTTGTTTTAATTTTCACATGCACATTTTTCATCTTTATTATTATTCAGAGAATATTTTTATATCCTTCATTAAATGTTTACATATATGACGCTTACATTTTTTAAGGTTTTTGTGCAACATTCTTTTTCGCTATCATATATTTTTTATTTATTGTTATGTTTATGGGTTTCGCGGGCTGCTCATTTTCCTACACTTTTGATTGGTTGTCATATTTCGAATGAGATATCTATGACAGCGTTAGAGTTTATTTAAGGCTATTGTTGTTTTGTTGATTAAAAAAATTTTAAATCAGGGTGTGTAAAATAAAAATCACAAAAAATATTACTGAAGGATAAAATTAAAGAGGGTAAAATTAAATGCCTGAAAATATTTGTGCTATCAATCTTTATTTTTCCTAGAAAAAAGATTTTAAAAGTTGATTGAAAATGAGTTAATTGAAAAAAAAAAAGTTCTTAGAAAGCTAAAGAAAAATTGTTACCTGAAAACAAAGAGGGAAATGATACTAATAAAAATAAGTTTTGTTTTTTATCTGATACAACAGCTGTTTGAACTTTATTCACCATCTTACTGTAAAAAGCCTTGGATTTGTTGCTCAAAATTGTAACTCTTGATGTCACTGTTTATGCGCAGGCATAGAAAAAAATTTATTTGTAAACTATGTTTACAGGTTTTTTAATAATATACTGTGTTATTGTTGATTAAAAAAATAAATAATTAAGCATTGTTTGCGTTATTTATTTAAAATATGCCATCGTAGGAGCAGTCGGTTGCCTATGATGGCATACTTGTACTTTTTTTAAATAGGAATAACTTATATATAAAAAAAACTGTTGAAAATTCTGAGCTATTCTTGTTCTACATGTTACAGGGATTGCGTCTATGTTAAGTTTATGTTTTAGGTCTTCAGGATATGAATTTTTTTGAAATGTCAAAGATAAGTATGCTATCATAGGCACCTAATAAAAATTTTTTTTTTTTATGAAAAACCTTTTATGTGGATGTAAAGCTGCTAATTTATATTTCAACTTTATATTTCATGGTTTAGATTCAGTTTGCATGCTATTTATTTATTTTTATTTGTTTACATTTTTATCTTAAAAGCATTTTGTGATTTGAACTAGTAATTTAATAATTTTTATAAAGTGATTGGCTTTGATGTTTTTTGTTTTTGTTTTTGTTTACCTTTTCTATCTTACTATTATGAGACTCCATAGTACCTACTATTATAGTAAATTAAACAAATAATTTAATGTAAAAATTCAAAATATTTTATTTTTATTTAAATTTATTTTTAGGTTATAGATTTTCATCCTAATAGCAATTATGTTGCAACTGGATCAGCTGATCGAACTGTGAGAATCTGGGATTTACAGACTGGTACTTCAGTGCGTTTATTTACAGGCCATAAAGTAAATTCTTGTTAATATATATTTATTTTTTTATATATTCACCTACCCTTTTTTTTTCGTTAATTGTTGTTATACCCTTCTCTTTCGACCCCATAGCTCTGTAACAAACTTTCACAAACAAACCTGTTACACTGAGAATTAAGTTGATTGTGGAATTTCCAAATTCATTAATGGATTTCTCAACATGTTTATAATTTTTGTAATTGTCCACACTATCTTCAAGTAATAGCTTTAAAAACCATTCCTTAGCCAAACTTTGTATGTGCAAAACACAAAAGTTTTGATATGCTAAAAAATTTCCAGAAAAAAAAATAAATTTATTTTCCTTTTGAAAAGTTAGTAAAGAAAGCTCTGGAAGCTCTGTAGATTTGATAATTGTTTAATTTTTGAACTAAAAAGTGATCACTCTACTACTACACCATTACCACTCATCTGTATTAGGGAATCTGTATTAAGATCTGGAAATTAGGGAAAAGTTAGGGAAATTTGTTCTAGTCAGGGAAATCAGAAAGTTTTATTATTAATCTCTTTGTTGTTATTTTTATAAATTTTAAAGTTTAATCTGCTCCGGTATTTGTTTTTTTTTTTTATTATTATTTTTTTTTTATTTGGCAGTTTATTTTTTTTTTAATACTATTTTATTTTTTCATAATTTCCTAATTTTGTCAAAACATCTGAAGAAAAAAGAATTTAGTTGTAAAAAAATTCATCAATGTAAAAATTTTTTTCTGTTACTAATTCTATACTAATTTCTTCAAAAGATACTTTTCATATAAATTTTAAACTGCATCTATAAGTATTTTTTCTGCTTCCATTAAACTTAAATTTAAACTTAAATAAAAATGTTCATAGAATGATTGCTTTCAGTTACATTTTTTGAAGCTGCTATCCATTTTTTTCTTAAAACCTTTTTATCTGAAGTTTTTGATAAGATTACTTTTATAATTGGCCAATAACTTTTAATAACTTGCTGCTCATGACAATTTTTAATAAATTACAAAAGATGCTTTTTTTAAGAATTCTTCTATATACAAATCCCATTCAAAAGTTTTAAGAGTAAAGTGTGGTGTACTTTTCAAACCACATGAGCAGAATGCCATGAAAGGAACTTAAGAGCAAATTTCTCAGTTTGAATATACTTGAATTTTTTGGCAACATACTTTTCAACTGATAAAAACATTGCTGAACTGGCAACCATGAAAAATCACCTTAGTAATAGGTTTCATTGTCTTCAATTATGCACAAGTTTTCTTGGATTAAAAGTTTATAGAGCTTTTGAACAATAAATTGCTTTAATTTTTCTATTAAAACTTTGGATTTTCGTTTTTTTATGATATGCTTTATATCTTTGAGATCTACTTACTTAGAGTACTGAGATCTTTACTTATAAGTACTTTTCTATTGAAAGTTTGACTTCATTTAAAATTTCTCTGCAGCTGACATGGATTAGTCCTTATGGAGCAAATGATTGATTTTGTTTTATATTTATCTTTAAATTATTACTTTTTTCCACTTCCATTTCCTCTTTCAATAGATTAAGTCTGTTTAAATAAATCCAGAACTGAGGATTAGATAAACATTGGTCAACTTTGAAATGTCAACTTGTAACAATGAAAGATTTCGAAGAAAAATTTCTAAAACAGTATTTCAACTCATTTTAATCCGATAACATTAATAATCAATACTTATTACCATTACAACATCATATTAGCTTCCATGTTCATCATATTAGCTTCCATGTTCATTGTGTTCATCTTGAATTACATTGTGTTCATCTTGAATTTTATCGTGTTCATCTTGAATTTTATCGTGTTCAACCTCTAAATTAAATCTCTAAATGTGTTCTATAAAATGAGATATCAAAATTAGCTTATAAAATTTCTTTTTTTTTTTGTGTGGTTGCTAAGATCCTTGAACAAAAACTTTGAAAAAATGTCAACCTGGATTCCAAAAGAAGCAAAGTTATACAAAAATTTCAATAATAACATTTTAAATAATAATTGTAGTTTTTGATTTTGTTGCATAAATATTGTTTTTTAGTAAAAAAAAAAAATTTTAGGTTTTTTTTTTTTAAGTTATATTTTTGATAAAAAAAAAAAAATTAAAAAGAAACGGTCAAGCTCAAAAAAAATTCCAACAACATTTTATAATTATAGGCAACTTGTTATATAATTTTGTTTATTTTTTACAATAAAATCCTTTCTAAATTCCATCATCCAATTTCAGAAACAATTTGACTTTTTATTAACAAAACATAGATGAATAATTTAGTTTTAATGTTAAAACAAGTTAGTAGTTATAGTAACAGTTTAGTAGAACTATTACTACTGCTACAATTACTACAACAACAACAACAACTACTAATACTACGTACTACTGCTACAATTACTACAACTACTACTACTACTACTACTACTACTACTACTACTACTACTACTACTACTACTACTACAAGCAGAATATTGAATTATTAAAATAATTTTTTACATTTCTGATTGTTTCATTCGATTTGCCACCCCTAAAAATGGCCTGGTACAAACTTTTAAGTAATAATATCAAAGTCATGTGACTTAAAACCTTTAAATAAATCTTGCGATTCTAAGGGGACAAGAGGAGACTGGACAGTATCTACCAAAAGTCAAATGGTCATATTTAAGGATCTTCTTGGAACCAGAGGCTAAAATTTTCAAGGAATTCTTATTTTACTAAGTACTCTCAACTGTATAAAAATCAGTAAAATCTGAGATATAGGGTGACGTTTTTAAAAATTTCTGGGTCATTTGACATGGAAAATTCCATGTCGAATGACCCAGAAATTTTTAAAATTGTCACCCTATATCTCAGATTTTACTAATTTTTATAGAGTAATTTTACTCTTTAATTTTGTTTGTTTTTTTGAGATTTGAAACCTCCTTTTGAAACATTCATTAGAGACTTTAAATCTCCTTTTGAAACTTTTATTTGAGATTTGAAACCTCCTTTTGAAACTTTCATTTGAGACTCGAAACCTACTTCTGAAACTTCCAGTTGAGAATTAAAACCTCCTTTTGAAATTTTCATTAAAAACTTTAAACCTCTATTTGAGGTTTAAAGTTTTAACTTTTTTTGAGATTTTTTAAGAAATTAATAAATAATAATTGGATTGTTAGAAAAGAAGGAAAAAAAATTTTTATAAGCATTGCATCTTATAAATTAAAGTTAACAAAATATAAAATTTCTTAATACATTGTTATGAATATATTTTCATATTTATATTTTTTTAGGCTGGTGTTCTGAGTGTTAAATTTTCGCCCGATGGGCGTCATCTTGTATCATCAGGTTAATAATTTATCTTTAACTAAATAGTTATAGTATTTATTTATTTACTCTTCATATTTTACTTTAAAAATTTAAAATTTTTTTAAAGTTAAAAAATTAAAAAAATTTTTTAACTTTAATTTTTTTCAAAAATCTTTGATTTAATAATCAAGAATAGCGATTTAGTTTTCAATTAAACCTATAACCATTTCTGAACATTTTTCTGATATTTAATTACATGAGTTACTTTCAGAAAAAAAAGCGCAAAAGTATTTGACTTTTATTGGTTAGAATGAATTGTATAATACGCACAATATCATGAAATCAAAACCACTTGACATTAGATTCCAGCCATACATCAAGACGCAAGGCTGCATATTGAACACATAAGATACACAACAACGCGATCAGCGAACTGACTTTTTTTTTTGGAAAACTGTTCAAAAATGTTTATGACAAAACTGAGTATGCTATTTCACCTATTTCTCATCAGCAATCTGCATGCTCAATGAACTTAATAGCTCATTATGTTGCAACTGCTGATTATGGTGCAACCTTCAAAAAGATTAGTCGATCAACATTAACAAAATGTCAGGTGTCATTGAACAGACAGTCACAAAGTAATACATCTACAGAAGTTTTTAATAAATCATTAGGTCTGCAGTTTGTTGTTACTTATCAGGTGGAATTCAATGTACATGGTTGATGCATGAACAGGCTGATAACTGGTAAAGGAATTAGAATTAGTATGATAAGTGATGTTCGAGTCAAGTTGATTTAATACTGTTTCAACAAGCTAAAGTACCGTTAATTACAGAGTATGAATTCTGTTATGAAGCTTCTTTCTCAAGCTTTATTTATCCTGAAGTGTGAAACATAGGTCTACATGGAATACCTGCTGCTAACTACAATAATTTTGAAAGAAAGAAAATCCTGAGAATTCCTATAATTCCAATGCTTCCTAAGAATTCCTAAAAAGAACTTTACAACAGCTCAATTCATTGCTGCAAGCTAATGATGGTGACCATGGATAGCAGATTCAATCGGGACATCATGAATGTAGAATTACTAGCAGCAGCTGTTATCCATCCAAAATTTAACATAGTTTGGATCTAGGATAATAAGCAAAAAAGAATTGGTCTAGAATTCCTGTAGTACAAGGTTTAACAAGAGTAGCAGCTGGCTAAATACAGTGACTGTGCAAGTGCAAGTTCAGCATATGAAGCAGCTATATCTGAAATTGAAGATGAATTTTTTCAATTTAGATTGTCGCATGAAACTTGTACTGCTGTTGATAAATTTTATTTCAACATACATTAGCACCAGGTCATAACTTGATGCCCTTAATAACTCCCACTGTTAAAGAATGTCTTTTTTTGGGAAAAAATGACATTTAACAGTGATGATGACCCGTGAATGTGCTGCCCAAGAGAAAATGACCTATGTCCCCCACCTTCTGGTTACCATATCCTGCACACCCCTGGCCAAACCACACTTGAATAACAGATGAACATTTTGAACAGCAGCTGCTATTACATTATATATCTCCTAAAGTCTGATATCAATCTATAAAATAAGGCTGTGATACATGTTTATAATTATGTGACTTGTCCTAAATAAAATAAACAAATTTATTTGCTTAGAAATCAAGCTAATTTATAAATCCTCATGTGTAAACCTGCTTATCTGTTGCAATAAATGTATGATTGATTGATGTAATATAAGTTTTATTCCAAGATGATTTAAAAAATTAGTTCTTTATTTTAATTTTGGGTGTATTCACTATTGCGACCCATAAAAGTACTTTTTACTTTGTAACTAAAAATTACTTCCAAAATACTGTACTTTTTTACTTTTACTTAAGTATTTTGGTCTAGCAATACTTTTTAATTTTACTTTGTTACTTTTACAGCCGGTACGACCCCTACACTTTTATCAGTTGGTACAGATAGGTTCGTGTACCTTGAGCTGGATTTTTTCCCAGACTTGTCTAAAAATGGTGAAACTTTTACTTTTTAAATATTTTTAAAATGACTCCAACACTTTTATCAGTTGGTACTTCATTCTATTATTCAATTATCATTCATATATTAACTTCATCAACTTCAGATTATAACTTCAGATATTAGTACAGATAGGGGAATCAATAGAGGAAATTCGTGTACCTAGAGCCAGATTTTTTCCCCAGATATCTCTAAAAATGGTGAAAATGATACGGCCACATCTCTATACTAATTAATTTGTATTAGTATAAGTATATTGAATTGAACTATAAAATAATTGTTTTTAATTGTACCAAGGGCTTCTAGTTATTGTACTGCTCGCTGAAAATTAGATTTAACTCCAAAATAAATTAAGATTTAGGCATAAATTTAGACATAAATTTGATTAAAAATTTATTTAATCTTAGACTGTTTTCAACAGGTTTATCTAATATTACTTAATTGCAGCACTCAAATAAGTTACAAAATTGGCTACTAGCTCTGAGCAAGACCTGTACATGTTCCCGTACAAAGTCCAGTCTGTGCATCAGCTGCTGCCTGTCGACCGCCAAAAGCGTGTAACCTACGTCCAAGCCACCCTCAATCTCGAGCATGAAGTAGATGATTTTTCAACCAAAATCATAATGAGCAATGAGGCTCATTTCAACTTCAGCGAGTAAGTGAACAAGCAAAACTATTGCTTCTGGGGCACCAAAAATCCACGAGTGATGCACGAGGAGCCATTACACCCGCTGAAAGTGACTGCATGGTGTGCTGTTCAGGAGTCATCGAGCCATTAATGACAACATTCGACACCAGTGCGAGAATCTGTCGCCCAAAGTTCTCGCCGAAGTGATGAAGAATGCCATAAAATGAGCCCGTATAGCAAACAGTTGTGGCGGCGCCCATTTTGCCGATATCATCTTCTCGACTTGAACAATAAAATTGTAAAGATTTAAATAAACATATTAAAAAAACAGAATTTTTTATTTAGAAAAAAAATTAGAGCCAACAACATCGGATGACTTCATTTGGCCCACCCTGTGCATACATTCAAATATATATATATATATATATATATATATATATATATATATATATATATATATATATATATATATATATATATATATATATATATATGTGTGTGTGTGTATATATATATATACACATATATATATATATATATATATATATATATATATATATATATATATGTGTGTGTGTGTGTGTGTGTGAGTGTTTATATTTATTATTTTTACACGTGATGGTGTAATTTTCATGTCTAATTTTAAACATATTATTTTTACATATTTTAACACAATATATTTATTATTTATGTATGTGACAACCTTGTTTCTATGTTTTATGGTAAAACCTCTGTATCAGTTTTTTTTTTTTGCCGACCTCTTGCAGAATAAGGTCGGCAAATTATTGCTGACATCATTTTTCCTAATACCGAGGGCAGTATATTTTTATATTTAAATTTTGCTTAAATAAAAAACAACATTTATAATAGTACTTAAAATTTTGTTCCATAGACTGCAATCATCAGCTATTAAATACATTAAAAAAAAAAAGTTAGAAAAAAACACATTTAAAACGTTTACAAAAGAAAAATTCTGACTTTATAAAACACATAAACACATTCTCCAGTATCAAAAGAGGAATTTGTTGGAAAATTGACACTTAGATAATATTTCTTCTTTTCTATTAGGCAGGTTGTTTTCAATGTGATATACAGTTTTAAACTTCTCACTAAGGCATTTGGATTTTTTTTTAATAGGTTTACAATGTTTTATAATTTTCCATATTATTGTAGATTTTTAATGGTTTTGTTTTTAGTCAAGGTAACTTGAGGTTGGTAGTAACCAAGGTAACTTAAGGTTAGTATTTAAGCTTACGAGTAGAGCCAGACTATTTTAATGCATTTTTCTAAGGATAGCTTTATTAAAAAACAAATTCATTAACTGGCATGGCAGATAATCTTGATTCAACAGTGTGAGGTAGTCTTTTGATAATACTAGGTGGTTGGTTAGAATTTCAGTAAACATAATTCAGATGATTGTCACATTTATGGCATGGTTGAAATGAATTGTTACTGAGATCAGAAAGTCAAGTTGAGATAACTTTCATATTGCATGAAGGATGGAAATAAGAAGACTATTACATTTAAAAATTTTTACAAAATGTTTTTTTTATTTTTTCTGTTTGCTTATTCTTCAATTTTTGTTTTTAAATATCGTCATGACAATATAGACCAAAATTATCTCTATGATAATACTACAAAATTTGAAATAAAAGAAAAATTCCTACTCACATACCTCAGCACCATTCCTACTAACTAACATACCTCAGCACCATTCCTACTCACATTCCTCAGCACCATTCCTACTAACTCACATGCCTCGGCACCATTCCTATTAACTTACATACCTCAGGACCATTCCTACTGGCATACCTCAGCACCATTTCTACTAACTCACATGCCTCAGCACCATTCCTACTCACATACCTCAACACCATGGTAAGCGTCCATTGTAACATCAGAGAATTCTCCTTTTTGCCTTATCCAGGCTTCATTGTTGTTAAAAATAAAAGATTTTTTTGCTTCTTCCTATTTTGTTTTTTGCTAGATTTTCTTTTAAAAAAATTTTCTTTTAAAGTAAAAAAATGCCCAGAAGATCCATTTATCCTGGTTTTATCATAAACATCATGGTTTTGTAAAACATGCTTTCCTTCTTTACTTTTACATATTTGATGCTTTGCTCGCTTTTATAAGAGTTTTATTTGATATTTTTACTGATTTTACATCATTAAATCTGATTTTAAATCATTTTATCTGATTTTACATTATTGTCTAGAAAACTATTCTAGTTTTGTTGCAATACTCTAGTTTTGTTGCAATACTCTAGTTTTGTTGCAATACTCTAGTTTTGTTGCAATACTCTAGTTGATGATGGTATAAGTTTGAGTTCTAACTTTAGAAGATTTATGCCGGTTTTGGGGAATTTAATTTCGCATAGATTTAAAATAACACTCAATGGAATGATTTAACAAACATTTTTTCTCAAGATTTTTCAGTAATTTTTTGATTTTAAATATTTTTAATATTCAAACAATATAATACAGACATTAGCAAGATGTCCTTTATACCTAAATAATATCTGCTCAATTTTAATAAATTTTTTAATTGGAAAGTTTAGGTGTTGATAAACGCATTATTCTTTGGGATATTGCTGAAGCAGCCCCTCTTGCTGAGTTTACTGGTCATTCGTCCACTGTTAATAGCTTGTGTTTTTCTCGAGAGGGACATATGCTTGCTTCAGGTATTATATTTATTTTAATGATAATTTGCTATTAAAATATAAATATAAAATATAATTAATATATATATAACTTTTTATTTAATTGTACTCTTAAAAGTTATCAAAAAACTTTTCACCTAATTTTACAGTTCAATTTCTGTTATGGCAATTTTTTTAGCTGGAATGGATAATTGTGTCAAACTTTGGGATGTTAAAGGAGTTTACCCTGCTGAAGAAGATGATCATGCCGAGTCAAATTTGTAAGGTTTTTCTTGTTTGCAAGTATATTTCAATTTAAATGAAATTTAAATTTAATTGTTATAAACTAATCTCTATATTAAGTTATTGGTATCCAATAATCGATCTAGGTTTTTTTTTTTTTTTTTTTTTTTTTTTGTTTCCAGGGTTATTTAGGGTCTATCCAGGTTTTTTTTTTTTTTTTTTTTTTTGTTTCCAGGGTTATTTAGGGTCTATCCAGGTTTTTTTTTTGGTTTTTTTTTTGTTTCCAGGGTTATTTAGGGTCTATCCAGGGTTTTTTTATATTAGTAGTCGTAAAAAATTGCTTTATTAATTTTATATTTGCAATAATAATTTACAATTAAATTATGATTGGTTAAATATAAAAATAAAATATTTGAATTGTTCACTGTAAATATGTTTTCCTTAAAATAGGAAAATCAGGTAAAGAAAATTGATTTTAGAAATTAAATAATAATATTAAAATTCAAAAATAAATAATTGTAATTTTTAAGTTTTTATTGAAAATATTACAAATATTTTTTTATTCTTTTTGAGCTTTTATTCAAGTTTTTGACATATGTTTAGTATTCATTTTTATATTTATTTGAAAATCTTAAAAATTGCACGTGTTTTTTAAAATGGTTTGTTATTGCACAAAGTATTTAATTATTTATTTTTATTTTCTGACAAATAATTGATTTTCTATATAAAACAGAAATATAGAGATAGTGATTTTCCTTGAATATAGGAAATATGGAAAATATGGACGATGGGTTGCCTTTAGGGGGTATAAATAGCGTAAAAAATAGTGGAATTTAGTTGTTTTTTTTAATTAATTTAGTATTTAGTACCATATATGTAACATATTAATACAACCTTAAAAACAGGAGAGAAAAATTAAAAAAAGACATAAAAGCATTTTTATTATATGCCTTAAATATACTTAAGCCCAAGATTAAAAAATAAAACCTTTATTAAGTTGTGAGAATAAATTTACTTATATCGAAATGTAAAATAATATCATTATTTATAATGATAACATTTTAAATAACTTATGATGTGTCTATAAAAAGGGGGATGGGAATAGGAGATCATGAAATAGCCATAAAAGTCTAAAAAAAAAAAAAAGGGTGAAAAGTCACTGAAATTTAAAATATTTGTTTCGAGTTTTACAAAGGTTTTACTGTTTACAAAGTAAAAGATTTGTTATTGAGATAAACGAAATTATAAAGTTTTATAAATTTACGTTACCAAAACTAATTTTACACAAATAAATATACATTAATTTAAGTTTGGATATTTTTAAGATAAATTTCTGTAAGTTTGGGTATATAATTTTAATCTATTCAGCATAAAGCGTGTACTCGAAATATAGCTGAATAAAAACTATTTTTAAAAAGTACTCTTCAATCTTTATTTAGAACTAAGTAATTATTTCAACACATTAATATTAGAATATAAGTATTTCAAAGAAAATAATTTATTCATATGAGGATCTAAAAAATGAACTTTTGTTTTGGTGGTACAGATAAAGCTTGCCCACAGAATAACAATTTTTTAATTTCATTTTTGTTTAATAATTGCCCAGCAATCTTCAATAACTTTGCACAACGTTCACATAACATTTTTTTATTCCGCAGTTTACTATAATGACTTGAATCCAGAACACAGGTCTGCTATCATGTGATTTAATCAGAGCTAAAAGACACTTTTGTAAACACTCTTTAGCATATGTTTTATCTGAAATATAAGATGTCTTGCAAATTTGACTTGCAAACCTTACCAAATTAAGGCTTTTTTTTTTTAGCAATCTTATGTTTTATTTATTTTTTCACAATTATTTTGTGTACACGCTTTTATTAAAATAATAATAATTTTTTATTATTATCATATATATATATATATATATATATATATATATATATATATATATATATATATATATATATATATATATATATATATATATATATATATATATATATATATATATATATATATATATATATATATATATATATATATATATATTAGGGGTATGACTAAAAAACATATTTCATTTTTTCCGAAATGGCATAGCGGCAAAAGATGAACTTTTACTTGTATTAACTTAAAATAATTCTTTTTTCCAAATCAAAAAAAAACTCCCCCACCAGTGCAGATGAAAATTTGGTCCCAGATGTCTAAAAATGCAAAAAATTTAAGTTTTTGCATTTATAGTAGGGGCAGGGGCACTTAACAAAATTTCAAAAATACCATGAGAGTTATTTTCATAGCTTGATCTATCTATTTTTAGTTTATTAAAAGTTTCAATGAGGTCTTGACTAGACTAGAGTTAGAAGCACGTTCTGCACTGCAATGTAGAACACAAAGACTAGTGACAAATTTTTTTAAAATCTTTTATAAACTGGAAATAAGTATAATAATATATAGTGATATATACACATAGCACATAGCCGCAATAAGTTTCACTTTGATGAACTGGTTTTCACCCATTCATCTAAAGTAATGTCATTTTTAACAAACAACATTTTAAATCATAAAAAAAATCAGTTTTCAGGTCCAAAAAATCTTTAATTGTTATATAACTTGCAGACTTTTCTGTTTTAGCTAATTCAAGAGTTAATTTATGAAATTACGGATAATGATTAAAAATAGGAACAATATACTTTTTAAATTTTTTTGCGCGACATTTTTTGAACATGCAATCCTTTCTGATCATTGAGAAAATTTACATCTTGTCTACTTTTAAAAACTTGTGTTTTATTTTTCAAGATGATTTGTTTTTTTATTTTTCATTAAATAAATCTTCCTCTTTTAAAACCACATTTTTGCCTCATGCTTTTTAAGTCAACATTCTTGCCTCTAAATGGCATATAAAAAGTAAAAGAATTCATGAAAAGATATTGCAACTAAAAACATTTATATATTGATATTTTCATCATAAAAACATATTATTAAGTCAATTTAAATTGGGACTGAATTGTAAGATTATAAGCATTTTACTATAATATAGTAAACATCTGATATGTTAATCAGTATTTTCTTCACCTAATAATGTTATGTATAATAATGGTATGCACATGGTAAATTTTTTTGGGAGGTGGGGGGGGAGAAGGGGGTTCAAAAATCATACGAGCGCGTACAAAGGGGGAGGGGTGTTGAAGACAGTGAACATGTACGCGGTTTGACTATCTTTTCTAAACTTGATTTTTTAACATTTAATTTCACGTGTTTAACAAATCAGAAATGTGTTTTTTTTCTGACTTCAGTCACAATTTTTTTTTTTTATTTCTTTATAAATAATGAAGAGAGAAAAAAGAAATCAAGTTAATTTTGAAAAAAAAATAATTGCAAAAACTGGTTCACGTGAAAACTGGCATATGTACGCCAAAACAATTTGAAAACATCGGCATAAGTGCGAATTAGCATAAGTGTGAACTGTTATATGTGCAAATCAGTTGCGAAAACTGGCACAAGTGCGAAATACCATTTTGTACTTGTAACAATTTGTTAACAATTGGCAAATTTGTTAACAAGTGACAAATGCCAATTCGTACTTATGTCAATATTTGCAATTTTATTCAGCACACTTTTGCCAGTTTTTGTAACTGCCTCGCACTTATACCAGTTCGCACTTGTGCCAGTTTTTGCAACTGTTTCGCACTTATGCCAATTCACACTTATTCCAATGTCTGCAAATTCTTTTGGCGCACTTATGCCAGTTCGAACTTATGCCGATTTACGCTTATTCCAGTTTTTGTAACTGCTTCGCAATTATGCCGGTTAGCACCTATGACATTTACGCTTATTCAGCCTCCCAAAATAACTGTTGGATTTAGTACCCTGGTTTATTTCACTATAATAAAATATAAGTTTTTATTGTTATATATTTTAGTGCAAATACGAGATTTTGAATCTGCATTTTGCAATAGTGCTATTTATCTTATCATGGTTTTTTATGCTAGAGAGTACTGTTGCTTTTAGTAACCTGGTTTACTTCACCATATTAAAATTTATATTTTTATTGTTATATATTTTGTTGCATAAACGAGATTTTGAATCTGCATTTTGCAATAGTGCTATTTATCTTATCGTAATTTTTTTGTTGGAGATTACTGTTGTTGCAATTATAACTGAAATCTTACGCTTTGTATATAAAAGGTTTAAATTTAACAGTTCAAGAAGTTTCTTAAAAACAAATTGTAAATAATCCAGCAAAAAAAGTTTTCACTTTTGAACAAGCAGAACTTTGGGGACGAGTATAGCTAAAGGTCAACTAACATTTTGAATGGGTTTTCAACAACTGGCTGATGTCAATTTCAACCTGTTTGAAAAATGAAAACTTTTACCTCAGGTAATCTTGAATTTTTTATTTTCTGTGTTATTAAACAGCATTAATGGTATTGAACTATTTCCTAAATATTTAAATTTACAATTTAAAAAAAGTATTAAAAGGAGACAAAAATTAAGTTTTTATTTCAAAAGTTTTGTTTTTATTTCAAAATTATTTGTTAATATTCTTTAGGTTGCACATTGCCTCAATTGACCTTTACTGATAGACTAGCAGCAAAATTCAACTGCTTTCGTCGACTAATGAACTCCAATGTCCTAGACATTAAAGTCCAATTGACTATAAATTACAAATAGATCAATTACTACTCCAGCGACTATCACTCCTGCCATTATACAAACATTTTAGAGCTAGAATAAGTCAAACAGAAATCAACCACGGAAAAATAAAGCCTTCAGTATTCTAAAAGATACTCTGGTGAGACAATATCTACAGACAAAATATAAGAAAATCCAAGAATCAGAAAATAGAAAAAAGTAAGAAAACTGAAATCAATATGATAACGAAGAAAAAGAATCAAAAACAGAAAAAGAGTCTCAAGTTATTTTTGAGCGACATTGAAAGTTCTGATGACCGGAATTAATGAAGATGAAACCAATGACATTGAATTTATTTTGTTGGTTTTTGTTTTCAAATAGGTGTTCTGCCAATATTTACTTATACAATATTGAAATATTTATTTCATTACAACCGTTACATATTATAACATAACTAAAAAATCTTTAAATGACCAGAAGTAGATTGAAAATAACTTTTTTTTTTTAATTCTTTGGTTAATATTTGAAATGTTATCATGATTTATAGTAGGATGTGCTTATCAAAAAAAAAATTGTCATGTTGATTTATTATAATAGTTTTTTAAGTAACTAAAGGTGTTTCAGAAAAAAAAATTAGTTATTTTAGCACCAATGTGGTACTGAAATAACTATTTGTGTGTGTGCTTGTTTTTTCAATTTGTATGAATTTAAATAGTTTAAACATTATTTATTCATTTTTAGGAGCAAGAACTTTAATAACTGCGAATTAGCTTCATTTGTGACGAAGTCCTCGCCTATTCACCATCTTCATTTTACTCGTAAAAATCTACTTCTTGGTTGTGGTCCGTTTATGGGAAGCTCTTAGCGTAGGTTGTTAGGCGTTAAATATTTCTGCAGTGATTCAATTTTCTAGACTAAATCATATTATTTAAAATTATTTCTGAAATTTCTTTTTGTGAAAAGTATTTATTTTTTCTTTTAACTTTTAAAAAAGACTAAATTGTTATGTTATCTCTCTTGCTACTTTAATTTTAAAAATTTTAAAATTAGAAAAAAATTAATCAACTCTTTACTTTTATTATTTTAGTATCTGATATAATTTGCTCTGATTCCGAAAATAGTAGTCAATTGTTATACCACTTCATAGACGGAGGTTGCATTAGGTTGTTTTTAAGTTGTCAAACTTATTTTTACTATTTCTTGATCTATATTTTGAGATTATTCAAATTATTTTGAACTCTATTGGTAAGGGGTCATTTGCAAATTACGTCTCACTAAAAAAAAAGTTTTTAAATTCCCTCTCTTCCCTCTGTCACAAAGTTTCACAAAGTATCTAGTATTCTTCTCTTCAATAAAATATATTTAAACAACTTGATAATTTCACAAACAGGATCAATGTTCTGCGATATAAAAAATTAGGAGTGACTGTTCACAATCTAGCATTTCTATAAAAAGTCAATAAGTATGATTCTCTAAAAATAAAACAGTTATAATTAATACTTAAAATACGAATAGTTTTTCCTAATTTACATCTTATTTAGAGTTTTTTATTGAAGTTAAAAAAAAGGAAATTAGATTTTATGAAATTAGATTTTATATTATATATAAAATAATTTTTAAAATATAACGTGTATTTTTTACACAGTTAAAAATACCCGTTATATTTTTAAAAACATAACGCTAGATTTCGTGATAACGGATAATTACCGTTATGTTGAATTTGTATGAAAAAAAAACAAAAAAACAACGGCAAACACCGTTATGTTTTTTTAGTGTTGTTACGATGATTAAATAATTTGACTGTCGATTAAATCGACTAATATATTTTCTGAAGTCGACTAAATTCGACTAATACATTTTTGAGATCGACTCAAAGTCTATTTAGTTAAAATATGGGAATAATTTCTTTTTTTTAATAATTTGTTTTACAATAGTAAACTTAAATTCGCTTTCTATTTTTTAACTTATTTAAATATTGATAAAACAATATGAGAGGAGGGCCGCTCCAACAACGTGCCTATTTATTTTCAGACCCCAATGATTTAAGGACTACCTTAAATATATATCAAATATATATATTACAATCACATTTATAATGTGATTGGAAAGATGACATTTAGAGATTGGAGTCGAATATATTAAAAAGAAGCCTAATATCGAGAGAAAAAAAAAAGGAATAGCGTCGCAAATAGTAAAAACGCAAATAATATATGAATATATATCTACTATAGCGTATATTCGTACTAAGTAATTTTTCCATTTTATTTTGCTAAAACTTGTTTTTAACTTGAATAATATATTATAATAATTGATAATAATTGAAACATTTTTTTTTTAATTTATCATGACTATAACTTATTAATTTTTTAGTAAATATATAAGAAAATGTGTTTACTATACAATTTTTGTTTTTTTTCTCAAACAGGTATTAATTTGCATGCACATAAATTAATTGTACTAAACTGTTTTATTGGTAATTTGTTATGAAAATGAATGTTTATAATTTTTTTAAGTTATAAAACCAATTTTATTTTTGATTTTTTATTTCTAGAACATTATTTTTAGCAATTAATAAAATTTTGGAAGAAAAAGACATTAAAAACTCTGTATATTGTATGGTATGACACCCAAAGATAAATATTTAAATACTACTCAACGAAAACTTGTTATAGACTTTAAACAAGGAAATACTTATAGTTGTTAAACAAGGAAATAACTTATAGTTGTTACTAAAAAACTTATAGTTGTTAAACAAGAAAATACTTATAGAAAAGTTGAAGAACTTACAAATATTCCATTCTCAACAGTAGGAGCCATTGTAAAGAAATACCAACAATATGAAACATTTTAAATTCATACTAGACGAGGGCGAAAACGGAAGACAAGTTCAAGAGACGATAAAAAGAATGATAAAAAAATCGGTTTGAAACTGCAAAAAATATCGCAAATCATTTGAATCACTTAACAGGAAACACAATCTTACTTACATCAATTAGAAATCGCATTCTTAAAGCAAGGTTTAGTGGATGTATAGCTCGTAAAAAACCATTTTTAACAACAAAATCATATGAAGAGAAGAATGAACTTTGCAAAAAAGTATTATTTAATGCCTGTATCATTTTGGAAAAAGTTCTTTGGTCTGATGAATCCAAGTTTAACTTAAAAAAATCTGATGGTGCACGTTTGAGCGTGAGTTTGGCGAAAGAGGGGTGAAGCTTTTCATTTAAGTTGCACGCGAGGAACATTTAAATATGGCGGTAGAAGTGTAATGTTATGGGGTTGTATGGCATAAAATAGTGTTGGTAAACTTGAGTTTATTGATGAAACTATGAATGCTGATTTGTATAAAAATATATTGAAACGAAATTTAAAATCTTCTGCTAAAAAGCTTAGATTGGGAAATGCTTTTTTGTTTCAACAAGACAATGATCCAAAACACACTGCTAAAAAAACTAAAAGCTTTCTCGATGAAAATGGCATAAACGTTTTAGAATGGCCTTCGCAGAGCCCTGGTTTGAATCCAATAGGGCATTTATGGACTTTATTAGATAAAAAAATAGGTACTAGATCATTTATGAAAAAAGAAGATTTGAAGAAAGCTGTTGTTAAATCATGGTCTAACATCAACAATAATCAAATTAAGTGTCTAATAGAATCAATGCCAAAACGCTTGTTAGATGTAATTAAAGCAAAAGGAGGACCAACTAAGTAATAAAGTATGTTATTAAAATATAAAAACTTGAAACTGTTTCTCAGTTATTTTAATAAACTGGTATTTTTTCTTAGCTTTAACCTATAACGCTTTTTTTGTACAATTATTTTATGTGCATGTGTTTTTATCCCCTTCTTCATTTTAAAATTCCTAATCAGGTAATTTAAATACTTAAATAAAAATTTTACTTTTTCTTTGAAGGTCTTTTAACAAATAAAAAATTGGAGAAAAATAAAAGACTTTATAATTAGTGACAATATTTTATTTAAAGATGTTAATTTTATTGAAAAATTACTTTGTACGATTAAATTCTATTCTCACTGTAGATCAGCAATTGCTTACTCGTTTTGCTAATCTTTAAAGCATACGGCTTTTTTTTTGAAAATATTAGAGACCATTAATTATTCGAGGGTCTTGAGGGACTCCTTAAAATACTTTTTATTCAAAAAAAATTTAAATATAGTTTTTTGTATTAGGCAGAACACATTTAGGGGATGGGAGCAAATTATTTTCAAAAATGTTGGTTTTTGGGACACTCTAGACTTTTACAGAAAAAAATATTGCTACGCAAGGCCAAAACATCAGTCAATGTAGTGGTACTCCTTTGCGGCAGTAGGCTATAAGATAGTTGGTGTATATACTGAAGCCCCCGGCAGCAGGCTATTTCGGTATGACATGAGACATGTTATCTAAACACGCATTTATAGTTATTTTTTATATATATTTTTTAAACACTATTGATTAAATTCCTTTACGAGATTTTTTTTTTTATTGACACTATTCATTTGTGACACTACTCTTCCTATTTGTTTTTGACACTATTCCGATTTTACTATTTGCGACCCTATTTCTTTTTTTTGTTGTTGTTGTTATCGACATTCTTTTTTCTATTTTCGACATTATTCATTAAATTTATTTGCGACATTATTCCTTATTCTGTTATTCGACCATCAATAATGCGACAATTGCAACAATCCTTTTCCACATTTTGCGACAATCAAAATTTTGTGACACTATAGTGTCTGCAAAATTTTGTGACACTATAGTGTCACAAAATGCAGTGCAGTGATTTACAGGGGTAAAAAAAACCCGGGTTTTCACTAAATCTTTATATTACATAAAATAGTTTCCGAATTTCTTGAATTTTTTGCATATTCTTAAATAAATCATACATTTTGTAAATTAAAAGCCAAGAAAAGAGAAAAAAAACTTATGACCATTGTTTTTGTGTACCCGTGAAGATTGATAGATTAAGCCAGTTTTTTATTTGTTATAAATTTTCCGCAATAAATTTACTTTTTATAAGTAAAATAATATTTTGGCTACCTCTGTAGTAACATAGTATAAAATTAATTCAACTGTAGTGGTTTTATTAAAAACCGGTTAATTAACAAGTAAACTGGACGCGGAGCGGTACACTTGTTCTTAGCCTTTACGTTTTGACTTCTAAGTTGTGGTTTAATGTTTTAAAGTGGTTACTTGCAATCTTAGCAAACTTTTGTTGGATGTATTTCCTCCAAAGTATATTTTCATAAGTAAAACCGTATTTTCATGTGCTATATTTTTGCAGTCCATGTTTTTATCACTTCATGCTGGTTACACAGTAAGTTTAACATTTTCGAAAGTCTGGCTTTTAATTTAATAATAATTTGTGAAGAAAAAAAAGTTGTTTCTTACTAAATATAAACATATTTTGGTTAAAAATTAACAAAGCAAATATCATTAAAATATATTTAACAATAATAATAACAATTTTTTGTTATTATTATTGTTAAATATATTGTTATTATTATTGTTAAATATATTATTATTAATTTTAAATAAGCTATGAATATTAAATTATAATATATATATATATATATATATATATATATATATATATATATATATATATATATATATATATATATATATATATTATTTGTTATTTTAGGTGCCCCAAGAAGTGCAAAGGGTCTTGTCGCAGAGCACCGCGGAAGTGCATTTAACCAGAAAGTTCACGCCTCTTTTCTTACCGTGACGCGAAACATGTCTAAAGCTCGTTTCGAACATAGATCTCCTGCTTATAAAGCAAGGGCTCTAACCACTGCGCCACGGCCGCACAATATATGTACATATGTATATAATATATGTATATATATAAACAATATATGTATACATGTATACAATATATGTATATATGTATACAATATATGTATGTGTGTATGTATGTGTGTATGTATGTATGTATGCATGTATGTATATATATATATATATATATATATAAATATATATATATATATATATATATATATATATATATATATATATATATATATATATATATATATATATATATATATATATATATATATATATATATGATTGAGCTTTAAATTGAGCGCGCAATTCAACAGATACTTCAAAAAGAAATAAAAGTTGCAAAAATAAAAAGAAATATATAAAGTACAACAAGTTACAAAAACATAAATTTTTCAGGAAACAGAAAAAATCTATGTCCGAGAAAATAATGGGGTCGTCCATAAATTACGACACGCCATTTTTCACCCCCTCCCTCCCTCGTAACGCATCAAACATTTAATTGCCCCCACCACCACCACCACCACCACCAATATTACGCAACAATTTTCCTCCCTAAAAAAAATTTTTTTAAACGCTTTTAAATATGATTATGTCTATAATTTTCTGAGCTTCTTTGAGTTAATTAAATAGTACTTTTCAGCCTGTTTAATTTTTTTTTTTTTTAACCCTAACAGTTTTGTCTAAAGTTGTATAAATTAATATCGATCCAAAACATCATCTTATTTTAAGCAGCCGTGGCGCAGTGGTAGCGCACTTGCCTCAGGAACATAAGATCCTTGGTTCAAACCCCACCCAGGGCAAGTTTTGCGAAAGAGGCGTGAACTTCCTATTAAATGCTCTTCCACGGTGCTCTGTGATAAGACCGTAAGAACTTCTTGAGGCACCTAAAATCAACATTAAAAAAAAAAAAAATTAAATAGCAATTTTTCCGATATAAACATGCAAAATTATTATGATACGAATATAATTTTCTCCTTATTTATCAAATTAGCGGGGACAAGTGGATTCCGCTAACGGCTATTAAACCGAGGGTTCGTCTCTCGGTGAAAAAAATTTTATATATATATTTTTTTAGTTTGTGTACAAAGGTCATTTTTTTTGTTGCTGCACACTTTTGTACACCAAATAAATAAAGTTTTAACATGTAGATATATCATCTCAGAGTTGTTGTTTGGTCAGATACTCTTTTGATTGAAAGAAAGTTTTCTCTAGGTTTAAAACTTAAAAAAAAAAAAAAAAAACGTTGGGTCACAAAATTGGAGACCCCTCCCCCTCGTAACGAAATTGCCTTCCCCTCCCTAAAGCGTAACTTAATTTATGGACGACCCCAATACATAAACCAATCATGAAGATATTTAATATTATAACAACTATGATTTGAAACAATAATAACAAAAAGGCAATGGGGTACTAAAGCAATTATTAAAATGTTAAATAATGTATTAAAAAGTTGCAAATTAGAAGTTTTATATGTAAAAAACTAAATTATACAAATTTTAAAATAATTTGAAAATAAGTTTTTTTTCTTTGCTTCGTTTACCCAAATCTAAAAACACATGAAAAGAAAAATACGCAGAATGCAATATCTCAAGATAGGGTCATTTATTTGCTCCAAAACTTTACCATAGCATAGATCCCATAATGATGTAGGAGTTGTACTAGAATCATCTACTGATGCATATAGTTTAGGAGTAAAATTTACTCCTAAACTATATGCATACAGTAGATAATTCTAGTACAACTCCTACATCATAATGGGACCTATGTTGTTGTAAAGTTTTGGAGCAAATAAATGACCCTATCTTGAGATATTGCATTCTGCGTATTTTTCTTTTTATGTGGTTTTAGATTTGGGTAAGCAAAAAAAAAAAAAATTATTTACAAATTATTTCAAAATTTATATGTTAGTTTTTTATATATAAAACCTCTAATTTGCTAATTACTTTTTAATACATTATTTAACATTTTAATAATAGCTTTAGTACCACCTTAAAAAATTGTAATTTTGGATTTATAATGCAAATATTCCTTTAGAACATGAATTTTACGGCATATAACTTAAAAAAAGGATTGACCACGCTTATTACTATCGATTCCAAACACGCTTGTTATTCCAAATGGTAGCCCTATTGTAGATTTATTTAAACTTTGTATTATATATATTATATTAATTCGTTTATTGATCCACACAGCTGCTTAACTTACCTACTGGTAATTTACCCAATTTTTAACGGATTAAATTATCTTATAAATATTGAAAAAATTATGCAAATCCGAAGTATCGTTCAAGATATCAGATTTTGTAAAATTCTCAACTAACTCCGCCCGACAGGATGAAAAATAAAGTTATAAGTTAAAAATAAAACAAAAACACAACTTTTACCTTTGTGAAAAAAAAAAGAGTAGTACCCCGCAAATAAGCAACAAAAGCTTTTTGAAAAAATATTCTGTTATTTTACGCGCTTATTAAAATATTATGGGGTTAAAATAGTTTTAAAGAATTGTTTTATTTTCAATTTTTATTATCAAGAGAGCTTGCCAAAACAATTTTAAATTTCTATGTACATCTCAATGTAAAAATAAATAAAACAAGCCAATTTAAACAATATAGTCAAAAAACAAGTCAACTTAAACAATATATTCAACAAACAATTTTGATATCATAGCAATTCATTATTAACAATAAAAAAAAATAAATAAAAATTTAATATGCCTACCAAATGTAACATATCTGTGTTTTAAAAAAATATATTATGTATTAGTGGTCATTATTTTTAACAAATGTGTTTTTATAACAATACACATTAGTAACCAGGTTTTATAGATACACGTTGAAATACAAACAAGAAAAAAAGAGCAGCAGCGTACATATTAACAACGCCAGTAGAAATAAATAGTCAAAAATATTTTCTACAACGGCTAAAAAATTTGACTTGTTTTATAACTACGTTTTATAACCTAGGTTTTACAATATCTACAAAAAATATCAATATAAAAATAATTAATAAAATTTAAGAAACTTAAGAAAGAGAAAAACGACGATATTGTTTTATTATTTATGTTAAAAAGTAATAAAAAAAATGCAGGAGAGACATTAATTTTTGATATCATAGAAGGATTTTTTAATATGAAAAGGTGAATATAAAAATAAAAAAATTGACTACTTTATAGTGTACCGAAATCTTCCTTCCCTGCTTAGACGTTTATACTCGGTTAATAAATTTCGTGTACCTGTAAACTTTTTGTCAGAGGTTATCACAACGCCAAGAAAGAAGTGCTTTTCCTTTACCCAGCCGAGAATTTTTCTCCACCCAGCCGATAATTTGGTACAAGTTAATATAAAGCGAATAAAAATATATTCGTTCATTTAGTCAACAAAAACTTTCGGCTATTTACTCAACATTAAAAAGATTTTATTAAAATATAAATTATAGTTAATATATAGGTTGTATATTATAGGTCAGATAAATTTAAAAATGTAAGCATATACAAAAGCATTTCGTTATCTTTTCACAAATGCATATGACAACAGCTCTAAAGCATTTGGTCGTAAGGAAGGGTCTCTAAACAAATAGAGAAAATATATTTAGGTTTACTTAAAGATTGTGTTTTAATAACAAAAAAAAAGCATTGTTTTAATAACAAGAAAAATACAAGTTTATTTCTTACGCGTTCATAAAAAATGTTGATGAAAAATTCAGTAAAATTAACCTTTTAAAACAATCATCAACAAATCTTTTGCATGAAATTGATGAGTCATCAGGAAGATGAGGTATTGTTGTTTGTGTTGCAATTTTGAAAAGGGCAGCCATTGGTTCAAATTGAAACCAGGGTGGTTTTGTAGTGAGCATTTCTAATACAGTACAACCTAATGACCTAATGCAAAATTAACTTTTTAAATTTATGATTATAAAAACACCAAATAAATTTAAATACATAACCAGACAGACACAAAAAATATGATAGCAAATAAAAAAACGAAAAAATTATACCCAAGAAACACAAGACGTCTTTTAGACTAATGCAGAAAAAGTCTAATAAGTGTCCATATTCAAAGTTTAGACGTCAATTAACCTCATTTACTTAATTATAATTAACGTCAACATTTCTATTTCAATTGATTGCAAGTAAAATCACTTTCGATAACAAAGTTTGAATAATTATAACAGAAAAAACTTAAATTTTTTTTTGTTAAAACTGATTTAAAAACCGTGAAGTAGAAGTAGAAGCTGGAACTGGATCTATTAATAACATAATAGAAAAATGTTTAAAAAAATATGCAGAAATATCCTAAACAAAAAATAAGTGATTAGGTGAAAACATAAAAAACAAAAAATTGCAGAAGAATTTAATTTCAATTGAGTTTCAAAAGATTATCGAAAGATTCTACTTTAATGACGTAGTTGGAACGAAATATGTTTTAAATAGAATTTATTTTTAAATGTTTATAATTGCATTATTGCTGTTGTGAAAAATTTTTATAAAAAAAGATTTTTTAAATAACAAACTTGATCACTAATTGTCTGTTACATAAGCAATTGGTATTACCCAGTTCTGTTGCGCTAATTGTTTTGATATAAATCTGACGTGCTAATTATTCAAGTTTTAATGCAAACAACTATAATTTGCATGGAAGTGCATACTGTTAAATTTAGTGGATAACAATTTTTTTGTATATATTTACCTCCCAAGTCCTCCTAAAAATTACTATTACTGTTAAGGGGAATAATCTTCTTTTATTTAAAAATCAGTGTAAAAAAAATTATAGTAAACACTATTTAACTTCTTGTGACAAAAACTTTGATGATTAATGTTATTAAGAAGATTTTTAATTTGTTTTTATTCAAATAAAATTGAAACCTAAATATATACCATATATCAGCCTTTCTTCCGTATCCAGCACCATTAATTACTTCAGGACTCATCCAGTAAGGTGTCCCGTGGACAGATTTACATCCTGTCTGTGAACGAATAGTCTAAAAAATAATTAATAAACTATAAACATAATATAATACAATTTAAAATTTTTTAAATGTTTTTTAAGTTTATTAAAAAACTTTATAAAAAATGGTAATTAGAAAAATTTAGGATAAACATTTCTATGTTTATTTCTACATCACGTTACAAATTTATTTTCTCAATTTCTCAATAAAAATAAAACTGTAATTTTTTTTAAAAAATGTCCTTTATCTCCAATTTTCTCCATTATCAAAAACCATATTGTCATCATGGTCTTGACACATTCAAGTATATATATATATATATATATATATATATATATATATATATATATATATATATATATATATATATATATATATATATAATATATATATGCATATATGTATATATATATATATATATATATATATATATATATATATATAAAGTTTAATAAAATTAAATAAATAATTATATATATATATATATATATATATATATATATATATATATATATATATATATATATATATATAAATATAATATATATATATATATTATATATATATATATTTATTATATATATATTTATTATATATATATATATATATATATATATAATAAATATAAATGACCTGTAAAATAAGTTATATTTTTAAGCACATTATTAAACGTTTTGACAACATTTAAAATAAGAGGAAATTAAAAGAAATTTACTGGAAAAAATGGCTGTGCAGAATATTATATTTTTAAAAAGTACCTCATGTTTCAATTTTTAATTTATAGTTCTTCAATTAAAAAGTGGCAGTTGGTTTTTATTATATATTTTTTCAAGATAAAATAGGTATCAAAGATTTGAAGTCATTTGTGTAATATTTGTTGGAAAATCACAGAAATTATTTAAATCAATTACATATATATCTATGTATAATATATTTATCTATAATCAGGGTAGCCAGAAAATTTTTGATTTCATTTTCCCTAACTTTTCCCTGACTAAAATGAAATTTCCCTGACTTAACAATGTATTTTTAAAAAATGTTGCAATAAAAAGGCAACAAACAAAAAACTCACACAACTTTACCATAATATTAAAAATTCTCCTAAAAACTGTTTACTTTAAATTAACAAACATTTTTAAACAAAAAAATAAAATATAAAGTAAAAAAATAAATTTATTTTTAGTCTCTATTAAGCCAGTTTGATGGACCCAGTAAAAAAATTTAAAAACATATTTTGTTACTGGGTCCATCAAAATTTCATGACTTTTCTATGACTTTTGCAAAATTTAATAAATTCCCTGACTTTTTAACATAGTTTAGAATTTCCCTAACTTTTCCAAGGTTTGCTGACCACCCCGATAATATATCTATATTCATGTATATTTTAACGCTATTAAAAAAATGTCAAGAAGTATTTCAAAGAAGTCAAATAATAGGTAAATTTTATTAAACTTTTTAAATAAATGCTATACAACTGATATACTAGCAATTTTGACTTTTTTCTTTGCCTCTTTTTAAATGTTTTTAAGTTATTATTGGAAACCAAATCTCACTGGGCCTATCCCTAAATCAGTGGATGTATGTACACTCACTGTGCATATCCCTAAATTAGTGGATGTATTTACACTCGCTGCGCCTATCCCTAAATCAGTGGATGTATCTACACTCACTGCGCCTATCTCTATATCAGTCGATGTATGTAAATAATAAAAATCAATGTAACTTTCAATATACAATAACAATAACAACTTTTAATAAAAAAATAGTTAAAAAAACATTTAAAAAGATTTTTCTTAGTAAAAAATTTGATCCCGGATCATCGGGGAAGATGAACCGATGAGATACCACAATGCTAAACACACAATGTAAAATTGCAATTTTTTTTAAATTAGTACAAATAAAACTTTCAAAATCAACCAATAATATTCACAGCCATGACTTAAAATAAACCAATCAAACTTTACTACCGTGACTTTGAGATAAAAAATTAAAGCAACGGTACCATTGCGCTAGCCAAAATGTATTAAAAAAATACATTTACAAGAGTTTTTGTTGAAAACATGATTCCCCAACTTTCATGATTTTCACAAACAAATTTGCAATTTGGTGCATATTTATGTTACAGAAATATTGATGATTTAGATACTGGAATTGATTGAGATAAAATTTCATTCTCAATTAAATCCAAAATAGCAAACACACTACAAATAAATTAAGTTGTTTGGTTGGAACAAATGATAAGATAAATGATAATCCAGTATAATCCTCCACATGATAAGAGAGATAGATAAGAGTTATTTTCGAAATCGATGTCCAACTTTCAATTATGCTTTGCAGTTTTTGCATTTAGACCTTTTTGATTTAAAACTTCTCTCAATCTGACAAGAAATCTCCCTCCCCCACATTTGCATTGTGAGAAATGTTTCTCAATTGGATCACTTTTAAACAAGCTGTCATCACATAATCATATCCATCATTCAGGAGCTCCCCAACAAGCAATGCTTGAGCACGTTTAAGGTATTTACAAATGCTGATGCAGTTTGAGTTGTGAGGGTGAATGCAGATAAAAGAGACCACTGATCGATCTAATCAGCCAGAGTTTGGTTAAAAACAATTCTCTTGTCTCATATCACAATAGCATTGGCGTAGCATAAAATCACCAATAATATTAGGTAAAAAGCTTTGTTTAGAATTAGAATTGTCCACCAAGTGTTAAAAATAGTTAAAAAATTTGAAACATCTTTTCGATATGGATAATAGCTTTGGAGTTTTTCTAATTTTACCTTTTAATCCATTATCATTATGGCAAATCTTGAACAAATCATCCCAATTATTATATCCTGATGGAAAAACAATATTGATATTAGCATTATGGTATTTAAGATTTGAAAAAACAATTTTTTTTTATTTAACAAGTTATTTCTAAAGTTTTTGACTAAATGTGCACTATCATAAAATGAATATGTCTTTCTTCCATGATTCTGTGGGTGAATAATAAAATATTTTGATTCAGACTTGAATATTGTACCTAATGATTAGAATGCATTAACATTAGTGGAATGATTGTCATCACTATACCATGCACAGTGAACCCAGCACCTATTAGATTTTTAAAGTTGTCAGCTATTTTTTGCCATTTTCCAGAGAACGTGACTTCTGGAATTGCTTGAACAATAAAAGTAATATCATTGAGAATTCTTTTATTATAATAAACATGACTATTCCTTTGTACATGTTGCTTTGTCAGCAACAACATATTCTCCTCTCTAATATTTTGTGCCGCTTTTTGTAAATACATTTTATCTACCATCATAATACAATCAAGAGAAATTTTTCCTTTTTCATGTAGAAGTTTTAAAGCCTTTATAGGACCGATACCTCTTCGTTGAACTTTTTTTAATAAAGATAATGATGGTAAAGGGAACTTTTTAAGTAGTAGTAAGTATGCCTGCAAAGATGTATATTATAGAAGTATTGAATCATTTTTTTATTTTTCACTTCCAACAAGGCAGGTTCAACTATGTTTGCAATGCATTTTTGCACCATGTCTAAAAGAGAAAGGGGATCATGCCCCATGCTGTAGCAGAAGTGAGATCCTTTTCAAGCTCAAATGCCCCCTCCAAGCAATCAGAGAGTGTTGGCTTCTTACAAAGCCAAAAACCAATGGTAGTATCGTTAGCAAACAATGCCACCTTAGATGTGAGAATTTTTGGATTTATTGTTAATAAAAATAAAATAAAGTATAAGGCTAATGATAGAACCTTGAGGTACGTCAGAAATTGCAGGAAATGAAGAAGAGTGCTGTCTATCGAGGACAACTTTTATACTAAGATTGGTAAGGAAGGAATTAATAGTCTTGAAGATGTTACCTGATACACTGTAAGAAGAGAGCTTATGGAGAAGACCAGCATTCCAAACTTTATCAAAGGCTTTAGAAAGGCTTTAAATGGTGAGAGCGATAGCCTTAACCTCTCCACATCTATCTAATACACAATAAAACGTATCGTTTATTACCATTAACAAATCAGCAGTAGAACGAAAGATAGAAATCCATATTGATGATCAGAAAGTAAGTTATTAGATTCAAGATGAGAGATTAAGTGTTGGTTAATTAAAGACTCAAAAACCTTGCTTATGATAGGAAGAAGACTAATGAGATGGTTCTTCCTATCATAATCTTATGGTATGAGATTATGATAGGAAGAAGACTAATGAGTTAGACGGGTCAGATCACTCTAAAGAATTTTTAAAAACAGGGACAACAAATGCTGCTTTCCAGCAGGCTGGAAAAAAAAACTCTGATAAGCACTTGTTAAATAGTTTTGAAAGTATAGACAAAAGCTCCAGAGAACACTTCTGCAAGACTATAACAGGTATATTGTCCGGACCACAAGCTGTAGAAGAGTCTAAGCAGGAAACCACATGTAAAGCAATACATCAACCTGTTTGATGTATTGCTTGATTTCATCAGTTTTGCATTATACCCTTTAACAAACCAACTTGGTAATAGAAATTATGTTTTTTTTTGTATTACAAATGCACATTTAGGTCTACATCAACTATTATGCATTCTAATATTGTTGGAAAACAGTTATTCATTGTCTGTCGTCTGGAATTTCAGTTGATTAAATACTATAAAATAAAAAATCTTTTTTAAATAGTTTAAATTGAAACCCTGGTGGTTACTTACTACTGCTTCATTCAAATTATGTACATTTGTAATTGTATCATTTTTCTTGAATATTTCTAACTGATCTTTTTGGAATAATCTCTTTTTAGGAGGACTTTAAGAAGTTTTTAAAACTAGCAAAGATGAGTTTTTTTTGCAAAATTTCACAAAAATACTTAGAAGGAACAAGTTTTAAAAGCCAATTCGAGGTACATTTATCACCTCTAATTATATATTTATCTTCAAAATGAAGTTCACATTAAACAGAATATTTTGTTGGAGTCCAATCTGAACGTATTTTATGTCTAAAACTTTCAAAACTGACCTCTTAATTTCATTCTCAAAAAGATATACAGCCATAAATATATTATGCCATGTTTGTGTTCTGTCTGAACCTCTGGCGCGGTGTTCGCTCACCCGTAAGTTACTTTATGTTTTTTATGTATGTTTGTGTTCTGTCTGAACCTCTGGCGCGGTGTTGACTCACCCGTAAGTTGATTTATGTTTGTTTTTGTTCTGTTTATACTCTAATGCAGCGTGAGCTCAGTAACTAACTACTTACTCCAACTACAAAACGTACACTCACCTTAGACTCCTGTATTTTGTTAGATGCAGTGTTTTTCCTAATGCACTTCCAAAATGTCATGCCTAGTTTTCTCAAAGTACTGTTGCAGGAAGTAACTCCTTTTAACTACTCCAGGTCAGGTCAGGATAATCAAGATCAATCTTGCTACTGGTATCACGTAACCCAGTACCACCTGCCACAAGCCCTGCTGCCTTGCAGAGTGTGCTCTTCTTATGCAAAGGCTAGGAGAAATAAACTCCGACTAAAAATTCCCCTACCTTGGGGCTCTTGGTTGAGTAAAGGCTAGAGATGGTGTCTCGATAAAAACACTCATCTTGGGCAGATGTTAACTGCATCCAGCTAAACACCCACTGCCTTGGGGCTCTTGGTTGAGTAAAGGCTAGAGATGGTGTCTCGATAAAAATACTCATCTTGGGCAGATGTTAACTGCATCCAGCTACTGTCTTGTAGAAGGCCTCCTAGGCAAAGACTTTAGGGGTAAGCAGAAAAATTCTGCTAACCAGCCTCGAACCCCTTCTTCATCTATTAGGCTGGCGTAGATGTAACCTGTGTTACATTGTTTCCTGTCTAGGATGATGAATGCTGGATCTCCTTGACTCTACTCATAGAGTTTTGCTTATGCCTCCTTGATAATGGCTATGCAACTCTTCCTGTTATCTCCATATGAGGGTACAGCTCTAAAACTCAGTTTAATGGTTCTGAGGCTGGCTGGTAGTAAGGTTTCCCGAACTCTGTGGTAGCTCTCAGAGAGGCTGATTTCATCAACAGCTGCAAAATATCAGAGTATTAACAGTGCCATGCTGCGCATGGATGGTGTCCCTGTTAATGCTTTTGGTGTGCATTGTCAAGGCCACATAAGGAGCCCTATGTCACGGCTTAGGGTTAATTAACAGGACTGAGACTGCATAGCTCATTGATTAGGAGGCTGTGCTCTATCTATGAATGAGTCAAGTTCCCATTAAACCCAAATCATAACCAAAGTAACCAAATATTTAAAACCTAAAAAACCATCCCCACCACCTAAATATTTTAATATATCTTTTACAAATATTCGCGGTCTATGAAGCAACTTTCCATCAGTTGAGTCTTACCTCCTGCAAAATTCACCAGACTTGCGTGCACTCAGTGAAACAAACTTAAATTCTGCAATTCCTTCTTCAGATGTCAGTGTTGATGGGTACTATCCTTTGATTCGTAAAGACTCCAATAGTCACATGCTAGGTTTAGGGGTATACATACGCATTAATTCCCCTATTTGTCGTGAAATCAGGTTCGAATCCTTTGACCATTCTTTTATGTGCTTTCGCCTAGCACCTCTTCACTCTATCACCTTTCTCTTTGTTCTTTATCGTTCTCCTTCTTCCCATGATTGCACTCTTTTAGATGTTATCTCTGATCAAATTGACCATGCCCTCTCTCTTTACCCCTCTGCCAATATTGTTATTGTTGGTGATTTTAATGCCCATCACACTGAATGGCTTGGCTCTAACACCACTGATCCTGCTGGCACTAAAGCCTTTAACTTCTGCATTTCTCAATCTCTTACTCAGATAGTTAACTTTGTGACTCGTTTTCCTGACAACCTTAATCATTTACCTTCACTCCTTGACTTATGTCTTGTCTCTGACCCTAGCTTATGTTCAGTTTCTCCTTTTTCTCCCTTAGGTGGTTCTGACCATGCAATGATCTCTATAAATCTTTCTTCTTGTACTTCTTTTTTGGGCTCACCTTATCATCGCACCACCTACTACTACCCTAAAGCTGACTGGGATTCCTTTCGTGATTTTCTTCGTGATGGTCCTTGGGCTGATGTTTTTTCTCTCTCAGCTGACAAATGCGCCTTCTAAGTAACCTCCTGGATTCAGGCTGGAATGGAAGCTTTTATTCCTTCTCGTCGGTTTCAAGTCAAGCCTCATTCTACTCCATGGTTTTCTCCTTTTTGTGCGGCTGCTATATCCAATCGTAATCATTTTTTTCATCTTTTTCAAAAGAACAACTCTCTTGAGAACAAACGGCTATTTATTATTGCAAGAAATCGATGTAAAAAGGTGCTTTCTGATGCTAAACTCCATTATTCTCAGTTCACTAAATCTCGCATCTTATCGCAGAAGTTAGGCTCTAAAGACTTTTGGAAAATCTTCAACAGCATTGTTAACAAGGGTAGATCTAATATTCCATCTCTTATTCATGGGACTGATCTTGTTACCTCTCCCAGGGATAAGGCAGAACTGTTTGCAAAGAACTTTTCTTCCACTCTTGAATCTTATGGACATTCTCTTCCTTCCATTCCAGTCAAACAGGTTGACCCATTGTTAGACATTCAAATCACTCCGGCTTCTGTTGCTAAAGTCATATCTCAATTAAACTCGTCTACAGCTTGTGGTCCAGACAGCATTCCTGTCACAGTCTTGCAGAATTGTTCTCCAGAACTTTCTTCAATTCTCTCTAAACTATTTAACAAGTGTTTGACTGAGTCTTGTTTTCCTGCTTGTTGGAAAATGGCATCTGTGGTTCCAATATTCAAAAACTCTGGAGAAAATTCTGACCCCTCCAATTATCGTCCGATCAGTCTTCTTTCTGTTATTAGCAAGGTCTTTGAGTCTTTGATCAACAAATTCCTCACATCTCATCTTGAGTCAAATAAACTGCTGTCAGACAATCAATACGGTTTTCGATCCTCTCGCTCTACGGCCGACTTGCTAACTGCTGTAACTGAAAGATTTTATCGTGCATTAGATGGAGGCGGTGAAGCTAGGGCTATTGCTCTCGACATATCTAAAGCTTTCGACAAAGTTTGACATGCTGGTCTTCTCTATAAGCTTGCTTCATATGGTGTTTTTGGGAAAGTTTTTGAGATTATCAAATCATTTCTTTCTAACCGGTTTATTAAAGTCATCCTTGAAGGCCAACACTCTTCTTTATTTCTAGTAACTTATGGGGTTCCCCAAGGTTCCATCTTGGGCCCTGTCTTGTTTCTTATCTACATAAACGATCTTCCTGACAACCTTTCATCTAAAGTAGCTCTTTTTGCTGATGACTCAACTTTATACTCCTGTCTTGACAAAAAGTCTTCTCTTTTCGATCGCCTAGAACAAGCAGCTGATCTTGAATCTGATCTCACTTCAGTAATAGATTGGGGTTCACAGTGGCTTGTGAATTTCAACTCTAAAAAAACCCATTTGCTTACTGCAAACAACTCCCGTAATATGGTCAACATTCCTATATTAATGAATGGCAATCCTCTTACTGAGTCCTCCTCTTTACGTCTTCTTAGATTATCGCTTACTACTGACCTTTCATGGAAACCATATATACAATCAATTGCTAAATTAGCTTCTGCTAAGGTTGCTTCTCTTTATCATGCTCGCCATTTTCTTACTTCTGATTCCATTCTCTACCTCTACAAATCTCTTATTCGTCCCTGTATGGAATACTGTTGTCATATTTGGGCTGGTTTTTCTAACGATTCACTTTCTCTTCTTGACAAGGTCCAAAAACGCATTGTAAATGTTGTTGGACCTGGACTATCTGCTAAGCTTGAACCTCTTTCCCATCGTCGTAAAGTTGCATCTCTTTCCCTTTTCTACAGATACTATCATGGTCATTGCTCAAAGGAGTTATCATCTCTAGTTCCATCAACTAAAATTCATTCTTGTTTTACTCGTCATTCAGCTAAGTCTCATTCGTTTACTGTATCTGTCCCTGCATGCTCTAAAAACTTTTATTCATCTAGTTTTTTTCCCCGCACTTCAATCCTTTGGAACTCTCTCCCATCTTCATGTTTTCCTGAATCATACAACCTTCAACTTTTCAAGTCTTCTGTCAACCGTTTCCTTGCTCTATAACTCTGTTCTTTTTTTTTCCTAGTAACTCCCAACTTAATAGTGGTTGCTTGCAGCCTTGTTGGGAGTGAATGCAAATAAAAAAAAAAAAAAAAAAAAGATAAGCCTTAAATTTAGGCAGAGCCATATTATGAACAAATTGATATTTGTATAATAAATATTTAAATAACTAACAGAATAATTTGTAAATAAAAGTTTTATAATGAGATTTGGCTCATTTATTAAAAAAATTATTATAAAAAATTATTTAAAAAAATATTTTTTTAAAAGTCTCATTTATTTTAAATTATTTTATATAAGTTATATTTAATATATTAATATTATTTTTTATATAATATAAAAAATAAATTATATAAAAAATAAAAAAATGTTAAAATATGTCTAAAATTATATTTAACTGCATTACATCAGATGTTACAGTACTTTGAAGACCTTTTTAGTTATATATTAAATATTATATGATATATGAAAATAGAATCGTTAGAAATTACAGAATAACCATGAATTTTTATAGAAACAATATTACTAAACTAATTTCAACCATAAGCAAATATTAATGGAGTATACCTGAATTTGCTTTGATGCACCGAAATCTGCAAGTTTGCAGTTACCACTAGAATCTAGTAATATATTGGCACCTGTAATAAACAATTTATCTTTTAAAAAATTTCTAACCATTACTTGTTTATAAAGAAAAAATTCATATTAACACTTAAATTTTTTTTAATTAAAAAAACAAAAATAAACAAATTAACAATATATTCAAAAATAACCTTTAATATCTCTGTGTATTATATTTTTACTGTGCAAGTAATTGATGCCTTCAAGAATTTGAAAACAATAACACGATGTTTCCTTCTCATCTAAAGCACCAATTTTTGATATTTTATCATGGATAGATCCCTAAAAAAATGCAAAACATATAGATTAAAAACAATTAAACAAAAGAGACTAACAAACATAAAAAAATAAATAAATAAAAAGAACAGAAAAACTAAAAACTGCAACTTAACTACTGACATTTTTAAAATCTTTTTTTACTAATATACAAAAACCTTTATATAACAGAATATAAAACTGTAAAATGTTTGTATAATAATATTAAAATGAAATCTTGAAATTTAGAAAAATCTTGTCATGAAAAAATCCAAAACTTTAATACTTTTAAACAAAACCATATGTATATAGTTTCATTAATTTTTAAATTCAAAATAACATGTTTAATTTAAAATAATGTGTTTAATTTAAAATAAGTGAAATTGTGTTCTATGTCGAGAATATTTTATATGCCGAGAATACTATTGTTATTTGTCAATACACTGAGAATGTCTGTCATTAAATTAAATCAGTGTCAACTATTATACTAAATTTATTTATATCAAGTGCAGGAACTAACTTACTTGTCCATGACAGACATGTAATAAATGCTATCAAACAAAAGAAAATATTAGCATGCAAAATAATATCTTTATCAATTGAAGATGAGTTGTTGAATGTGCTGACCAAAATGGCAACTAGATGAATAGGAAAATTAAGTGACACTAGCACAAACTTTAGGTGTTAAATATAAAACAGCATACAATTGGGAAGGATTTATTAGAAAAGGAAGTTTTAAACTAAAAAAAAAATAACATACGATCAAATTAAATTAAGGGTAACATAGAAATGTCAAAAATAAATAAAATGAATAATCAAATTGAATTAATTTACAAAACTAACATGGATCCAAAATGATTAAAATTAAATAATTTAATATGAGCATCAGCAAAACAACCACCATTAACTACTTCAAACAGGATTTATATAGTCTGTAAAAGTCAGAGACAGCCGTTTTTAAATGCATTAGGGAATTATTTTTTTTATTAGAGAATAATAAAACATTTAAAATTGTAAAACTCTTTTACACCTTGTATTGTAACAACTTGTAAATGCTTATATTGGATTTTGAATAATGCCCTTGGTATTGTTGTTAACTTACCATTTATATAATAATTTTTAAGAACCAATTATTTTATTGACTGTTTAATATTTTCTGTTTAAAAGTTTTTTTTTGTGACATTTTTTTTCTTACGACTAATTTTTCTGTTTTGCAAGAAATACAAGAAAAAAGTCTTGAAATTTTTTTATTTGTGCACCCCCCCTCCCCCCGCTAAAATGCCTAAAAAAAATGCTTTTAAAACAGTTAGCTGTTCTTTTAGTTTAATTCATGGATATGTAAAACACATAGACTTAGATTTAGACTTAGCAAAGTTAATATATTATTGAGTAACGCTAAATTTGTGGCATTAAAGTGTCATGCAAGGAAAAGCTGGTCTAAGAGCAGAAAAAAAATTAAGAACTTTTTTTGATAAATAAACTAATGCCAAAATTCTTAAGAATTAATTACAGACTTGGTTATACGCAATCTATTTTGATAAAATTGATATGTCATTTTTAAACTGGCGTGTGTGGCTCAGATTGCACATCATTGATTTTTTTACATAAAATGTAAAAAAGCAATGTGAATTCTCATTAACCAGCTTTGTTAATAAAAGTCCATTAAATAAACTAAATTAATAGTCTAATGTTAAACCAAATGGAAATAAATATACAGGATAGTTTCCAAGTTTAACTGAATATTTAAGTATGAATATTTCTAAATAACTGAATATTTCAAGTTATTATTTAACTGAAACAGTAATTTTTAATGGCATGGATTAAACTTAATTTCAATTTCATATTTTTTTATAAATAAATAATTTACGTTCTATTTATTATTTTGTACTAATTTTTTTGAGGAATTTTTTTATTTTATGTCGAAGTAATTATTTAAAAAAAAATACTCAATGACTTTTCATATTCTCAATTCTTTTGCTTTTAAATTACAATCAACATAATTCCAATTCTATCTTATATTTCTTAATTACAAAATTTCTAGTTTTTAAAAAATTATTTTGCATAAAATTATTAAAAGCAATTAGATCAAACAGAGAACTTTCTTTTTATTATGAGTTCATTTGAGTATGAGTAACCCATTTGCCTGGTTCAGCAGAAACATTATTTGATCATTTTAGATTTTAATAAATAGTTGTCAGAAAGATCATCATATCCTTAGTTGTTCTCTGCTATCATTTCCAATGAATTTCTTCTCCTTTTAACAACATATTAAATGTTGAAACTCAAACCAGAGAGTGAATAAAATGCATTTTTTTTATTACAAAAAATAATACTAAAATCAAGGTTTATTGTAGTTGACTGAAGAACTCATGACAACAAATTTATAAATGAAGGCCTGTTATTATTATAACTTATCTTCAACAAAAATCTTTGATGTTCAATGCTATGAAAATCTTTGATGTTCAATGCTATGAAAATCTTTGATGTTCAATGCTATGAGTCATTTGATTATTATTTTTATTCTTTATTTATTATTATAAGACCATAAAAATTTATTTATATATAAATACTTCAACCTATTTATTATTACAAGACCATACAAATTTATTTATATGTAAATACTTCAACCTATTTTTCATATTGCAGCTGTATCAATATAAACTTACATACATTCTACTCACCCCCTCCATATATTCCATAAAAATAGAAATTGATGTGTTAGCCTGAATTGTGCCATAATACTCCACAATTCTTTCATGGTTTAAAGTTTTATAAAGTGAAATTTCTCGTTGAAGTATTTCTACTTCTTTTAATGCAGCAGTATTAATGTGACCAGTTTCAATATATTTCATTGCCAGTTCTTTGCCAGTATTTAAATCTACACAAAGATAAACCTAAAAAAAAGTTAACTAGGTTACTCTTATATATACTTATGAAATAATAGATTAACTAACATAATATTAATAAAAAAATATTCCAAAATACCGTTCCGAATCCACCAGAACCAATTTGTCTGACTTGTTTCCATTTAAAGTTAATATCATTTTCAAGAGGCTCATCTAGGTTTAACCTATCATGGTTGTTAAGTAACAACTTATTGTTACAATAACTATATTCACTATCCAACATTAATCCATCATTGCTAGAATTGCTGCCATAGCCTACACTTGACGAAGATGATGCTCGTTGAATTGGGACAAAATTATTTGAATGGCAGTCCATCCATCTGAATGTATCTAAACAATAGTATTCATATGTTTACAATAAGTAAATAACTGACTAAAATTGTTATTTGCTACTAAATCTTCTTCTGCTGAGACAAAAAACCTGAATTTAATCCAGCAGATTAGAAGCTTATCTATATACTTTGTTAAAAATTTTTAAAGATTACAAATAAACTAATATTTGTTTATAAATTAATATTTGTTTATAAATTAATCATTCAATTTAATCCACTAGATGAAAAGCATATATATATACTGTGTCACTATATATTGTTTAAAAAAAGAATATTTATAGATTGCAAATAAATGTACTATTTTATACTTTTCTACCATGCCGTTCAATGCATTAAGTCTAACAAATTTGTTTTGTTCAGAAGTGGTAAAAAGTAATTGTTATGTAAAAAGTAATTGTCACGATATGTAGAGTTTATTTTTTAAATAAGTTTACGACTTTAATGCTTTAACTTTTATATACTAAATTATATCATAATATTTCACATTTCTGGAATGTTTGGAATGAAAGTCATTTCCATTTTGGGTTCATTTTTAATAGCTTAAAAAATGTCAAATGTTATGAACGCCACTCTTGCGATATTGACCACACACACACATATATATATATATATATATATATATATATATATATATATATATATATATATATATATATATATATATATATATATAAAGAGCTTATTTTCAAAACGCGGTAAGCGCCAATTCCAAAAAAACTGCGTTAAGTGACTAATTTTGAAGAGAAAATTAAACCCTTTTAAGTCACGTTTGTAACTAATTAATTAGGCTTAATTTTTTTTTTTAATTTAGGCTCTAAAAATAATTTATTTTCAAAACACGGTATAATTTTTTTCGTTTATTTTCAATGTGCTGTATACTTTTTTGACCAATCCGTGCTTATATAAAGTTACTCCACACACAAGCGCAATAAGCATATTTAAATAATAATAATAAAGATGGCTGATTTGGATGGCTTAGATGAAAGTGTTGTGTTAACGTTAAAATCACAAAAAAGAAAAAAACAATGTTCTGCAAGAGAGAAAAAAAAATTTAGACATTCAAGTGGAGGAAAAATTCTTTCTATATCATGTAATCATGTTTCAGGTTACTGCAAAGTGGGTTCTTTTGGTTTTATTGATTTTCGTATATTGAAATTTATAATTCAGTTATGAGTTAAAAGTTTTAATATACACAATTTAAGATTACTTGGCATAGTTGCGTTTATGGCAAAATAATCATTTATTGATTGACTTATTTTAGGCTCGAGATATAACACAGGATAATTTGCTTAAGCATTATACAGAATTCTATAGTATTGCAAGTAAAGTCACAAGATGCTACTATACTGTCAATGCTTAACATAATCAATGTGAAAAGAGTCAGAGTGAAATATAATAATCGAATAAAGTTAAGAACTATGAGTATTGAGTACTTTTTATGCTGCGAGGGAATTAAAGTACGAGTTTGCCAAGCCTCATTTTGTTCAGTATTAGTATAAAATTACTTTACTTTTAATTCAGAAATAAAATGTATATTTTGTTAAAAAAAAAATTAAAAAGAAAAAGTTAATTTTTATTAATTTATTCCAGCCATAAAACCTGATAGAGTTTTAAGAATTGCAAGACACTGGTATGAACATGGAACAACCAGACCTAAAAATAGAGGGGAAGACGGGAAGAACATGGCTATTTCTGAAAAAAAAAGTAGCTATTAAAAACCATATTCAGTCTTTTACTTGCAGAGCAAGTCATTATGGAAGAAAAGGTGCTCCAGGACATAAATATTTGCCCTCTGATTTAAATGTAAAGCGGATGTACGAACTTTTTTTGGATAAAAACAATACTTATACTGTAGGCTACCATTATTATTATAGGGTATTTATGAATCATTTCAATTTAGCTTTTGGATACCCAGCAACAGATAGATGCTCTACATGTCAAACATATAAGTTGGCTATGAAAAACCAAAATATTATGGATGACCAAAAAAAATTAAAAACTGCCGATGTTTTTCTGAAAACTGAAAGACAATGTTTTTCGTCTTCTCAGTCTTGTAGGAGTAGAAGGCAGAATACTTACTAAGTATAATACACTACTCTGTAATGCCACTGAAGATGATACTAACCTCAGTGAAGAAGATAGTTCATAATTTAATTTAATTGTTTTTTAGCTGTGAATTTTGTAAACATGTTTTAGTTAAGATACAATTATTTAAAAAAATCTCCAGCATAACATAATTTATTTTGTTGCTTTTTAAATTTATGTTATTGAATACAAGAATACAAGTCATTAACACCTTATGTATTTTTATAGTTGCACTTGTGAATTGTTTTAAAAAAGTTGCTGATTTATATCAAAGGAGAAAAAGATTTTAAGGTAGATCTTAGAATGCATAACAAAATAACATGTTTCATTAATAAATCTATTTTATTAATGAAATGGATATAAACCGTTTTGTTAATAAATAAAACTTGGATATACAGCGTTTTCAAACAAAACAAAAATAACCACTGAAAATATACATTGATTTCATAAAGTTTGATTTCAGCATATATTGTAGTCTTATTAATAAAGTACATGTTTAACTAAATCAATAATAACTTATTCCAAAATACTTAATTTCTTTATGCAGGAGAAAAGTTTGATTTACTCAAAACCTAAAAATAGAATTTACAGCGTTTTGAAAATGAGCTATATATATATATATATATATATATATGTTTTGAAAATGTGCTATATATATATATATATATATATATATATATATATATATATATATATATATATATATATATATATATATATATATATATATATATATATATATATATATATATATATATATATATATATATATATATTTATTTATAAATTAGAAGAAAATCACTTAACAAAAATTTTTTTCATTTTACACTGTGTTTCTTTTTACACTGTGTCATCAACAAAGACTCATCAGAAATGAATGATCAAATTAATAAAACTTCAATTTTTTGAATGTTTTTGAATGTTGTTTGAATGAATTTTGTTAAACAAAAAATCGGAATTGATTTCTAAATGCAGGCACGAAAATAAGTTTCTCCTAAAAAACTATAAAAATAAGTGAGCTCAAATAATAGTTACATTAAATCCCCCCTTTTTTTAAAATATTTTTATAAAAAAAAAAAAAGCATAAGTAATCATTTCTAAAGAATTCTTTTTATAATAGTGTCAGCAAATTCCACAAATGTGTGAAAATTTACAGTAGTTAAAACATTTGCGACTGTAATTTAATTTTTTGGTATAAATTGAAGTTTTATCAATTTGATCATTCATTTCTGATGAGTCTTTGTTGATGAAACACATTGTAAAATGAAAAAAAAAATTTTAAAGTGATTTTCTACTAATTTATATATATATATATATATATATATATATATATATATATATATATATATATATATATATATATATATATATATATATATATATATATATATATATATATATATATATACATATATACATATATACATATATATATATATATATATATATATATATATATATATATATATATATATATATATATATTATATATATATATATATATATATATATATATATATATATATATATATATATATATATATATATATATATATATATATATATATATATATATATATATATATATATATATATATATATATATATATATATATATATATATATATATATATATATATATATATTATTGGCCCACCTTTGCATAACTACTTTATTTTTGCTGGCATATAAGAACTATAGGAGAGAATTACTAAGTGTTAGTATCATTGTGTCGCCTGTTATCACTAGTATATATACAACAAGTTTCAGCTTTTCAATTACTTTTGTTCTTGTTTTATTAAGAAAACAGTATAAGTTTGTTCAAATATTATGTACAAAAATTATTGGGCCAGAGAAAAGAAAAGAAAATAATACATCCAAAAAGTTCTAGAACTTTTGTTTTTTTTTTCAGAATGTTATAGAATTGTGTCGACGCTATATCTAGAACCACTAATCATAGTATAAATACTTGCAGATTTCTTCACTAAATGATAATTTACTAAAACGGCACCTAAAAAGAAAGAACATAGTAATGACCTTCGAGCTTTAGTAATTCAGCACTATCAAAACGGTGATTCTCAACAAGAAATTGCTGCTAAGACATTACTTCCGCGAGAGACAGTACGATACATAATTAAGAAATACATGTGAAGATCGAGGTCGAGACCGAACTAGGAATATCATTATGCGCCAATACCATTTGAAATAGACTTCACGAAGCTGGACTTTATGGTCGTATAGCACGAAAGAAACAATTAGTCAACAAAATCAATCGAGTTAAACGACTGAAATACGCAAAAACAATGTTGAACAAACCAATAAGGTTTTGGGAAACTGTCATTTAGTCCGATGAATCGAAATTTAATTTGTTCGGGCCTGATGGAAAAGTAATGGTATGGAGAACACCCAGAGAAGAATTCGATCCACATTGTACTGTGGCTACGGTCAAGCATGGTGGTGGTTCTGTTACCGTTTGGGGTTGTTTCACGAGAAATGGAATTGGTGGATTATGTATTTGGACCATTCAATGGACCGATTTTATAATCATGACATCTTAGAGCAGCATTTGTTACCATCGATCCAAAAATTTAATTTTGGACAAGAATTTTTTTTCGTCCACGATAATGATCTCAAGTATACATCAGGTCTAGTCAAGAATTGGCTCAAACAATTCAATATTCAAACATTAGCTTGGCCTTCATCCTCGCCTGATCTCAATCCCATAGAACATCTATGGGATGAGATCGACCGGAGGATGAAGAAATACAAGCCAAAAAATATCTACGAACTTGGAGACCTCTTGAAGAACGAATGGAATAATGTCGAGTTGTCTGTTCTCCAGAAACTTGTTGATTCAGTACGAAGTAGATTACAAGAATGCATCAAGATGAAAGGTTACTCAACACAATACTAGATTCGACGAAAAACCTGTTTCGCGATGGACAAACATTTTTTTCTTTTCTCTGGGACAATAATTTTTGTACATAATATTTGAACAAACTTATACTGTTTTCTCAATAAAACAAGAACGAAAGTAATTGAAAAGCTGAAACTTGTTGTATATATACTAGTGATAACAGACGACACAATGATACTAACACTTAGTAATTCTCTCCTATAGTTCTTATATGCCAGCAAAAATAAATTAGTTATGCAAGGGTGGGCCAATAATTTTTGGATTCACTGTATATATATATATATATATATATATATATATATATATATATATATATATATATATATGCTTGGCCTGGGCATTTAAATTTGTAAGAATTCACCCATTTGTCAGGAAACTAGGATTGAATCCACAGACTATTTTTTTATGTGCTTTCGTTTTTTCTTTGATCTATATCGTTCTCCTTCATTTTAAGACTGCACTCTTTTTGATGTTATTTCTGATCAAATTAACCAAGTCCTCTCTCTTTATCCATCAGCCAATATCATTGTTGTTGGCAACTTTAATGCTCATCACACTGAATGGCTTGGCTCAAGTTTCAGTGACACTGCTGGCATTAAGGCCCTCAACTTTTGCCTTTCTCAATCTCTAACTCAAATAGTCAGCTTTCCAACTTGTTTTCCAGACAACCCAAATCATTTACTTTCTCTACTTAACTTATGCCTTAAACTTATGTTTCTGACCCTAGTCAGTGCTCAGTTTATTCACTACCACCCTTAGGCACTTCTGATCATGGATTAATCTCTCTAAAACTCTTATCTCATTCTTGTTCATCATCAGAATCCCCTATCATGATACCTTTTACAACTACCTTAAAGCTGACTGGGACTCTTTCAGTGATTTTCTTTGTGATGGCCCTTGGGTAGAAATCTTTCGTTTTCCTGCTGATTAATGTGCTTCTTACATAAGTTCTTGGATTCAGGCTGGCATGGATCTATTATTCCCTCTCAACAATTCCAAGTCAAGTCTCACTCTTCTCCATGGTTTTCCTCACATTGTGCTGCTGCAAATTCTGATCGAAACCGTTACTTGCATATCTATCAGCAAAATAATTTTCCAGAAAACAAATATCTGTTTACTATTGCTAGAAACCATTGTAAATAGGTTTTGTCTAACACTAAAGCCTGTTATTCTCAGGTCAGGTTTTTTTTTAAAGACATGTGACACACACTGTGTAAATTAAATCGAAAAATCATTGGATTACAGGGTAATGAAGAACTATAGGTAAACCTAGGTAAAAAATGAAAAATTCTTAACAAACACAATGTAATTTTTAGTAAAGCTATCTAAAATAATTTTATTTTTTTGTTTGTTGCACTCTCGTCAGTGGAAGGTTTTTAAACAGAAATTTTATTTGAAATAATAAAGGAAAAAAGATTGCTGCCCAATGCCAAATTCTAAGTCAACGTAGAAACACTCCCTTGTAGCAGTAAGCTATAAGATAATGGATGTATGTACTAAAGCTAATAAACATTCTTTATTTATATTAAAAAATCACCACTTTGAGCAAGTTTTCACACAAAAGCGCAATAAGCGAGAAAATAAAACTATTTTAGACCGTTTAACTGTTGCTTTGCCTAATTATTTTTAGCAGTAATCACTTATGTAAGGATTTCTAAAAGTTTAGGAATATTGTGGTGGAAATAGAGTTGCTATTCCATTTTAGGCAACAAACAAGCTTTTTATTCATTAATGTTATTTGTCTCTGAGAATAGTCTCATTTTTAATGTTTCTTAACTTTTATAAAGTTAAAAAGTATAGTATGCCTAATACAGTAAATATTTCAATTTTAACTTAAATGTAAAAATATAAAAAAAGAAATAATTTTAAATACAATAAATAAAATTTTAAGAAATAAATAAAAACAACATATTAGATTTAAATGAATTGAGAATCAAACTAATAAAATAGGTTACATACATGTGTGTGTGTGTATGTATATGTATATATATATATATATATATATATATATATATATATATATATATATATATATATATATATATATATATATATATATATATTTACATACATATATATATAAATATAAAATTACATGAATATAATTCTCGTTCTGGGTGGATTTTTTTAAACAATTTAGGCAAATCCGGTTCTGGCCAGAATTCAAAATTTCCAATCTGGTACACCCTTAATCAAAAATAAAGGCAAATCTGTTATTCCATCCCTCTTGTATGATTCCGATTTGTCACCTCACCTAAAGACTAAGCTGAATAGTTTGCTAAGAACTTTTCATAAATATCATCTCTTGATTCCACTAGTTGCGTTCTACCTGATATTGCCGACAAACAGGTTGATCCATCGCTTGACATTCGTATTACTCCAACTTCTGTATCTAAAGTGATTTCCTGCTTACACTCTTCTACAGTTTGTGGCCCGGACAACATACCTGTTACAGTCTTGCAGAAGTGTTCTCCGGAGCTGTTGTCTATACTTTCAAAACTATTTAACAAGTGCTTATCGGAGTCTTGTTTTCCTTCATGCTGGAAAGCGGCATCTGTTATCCCTATTTTCAAAAATTCTGGAGAGCAATCTGACTCGTCTAACTACCATCCCAATAGTCTTCATAAGCAAGGTTTTAAATATTTAATTAAGAAACACTTGATCTCTCATCTTGAATTAAATAACTTACTTTCTGATCATCAATATAAATTTTGATATTCTTGTTCTACTGCTGATTTGCTAACAGTAATAACTGATAGGTTTTATCTAAACTTTTGATGAAGTTTGGCATGCTGGTCTTCTCCATAAGCTCTCTTCTTATGGTGTATTAGGTAACATCTTTAAGATTATTGAATCCTTCCTTTCCAATCCTAGTATAAAAGTTGTCTCGATGGACAACACTCTTTTTCATATCCTGTAACTTCAAGGGTTCTTCAAGGTTCTATCCTTGGCCCTATACTCTTCTTAAGTTACATTAACGATCTCCCAGAAATTCTTATCTAAGATGGCATTGTTTGCTGATGATACTACCGTTTATTATTGTCTTGATAAGAAGCCAACACCCTCTGATTGCTAGGAGCGGGCATTTGAGCTTGTTTAGACAATTTAGACAATTAGAAAAATATGACATATAAAAAACATTGCCTAGGTTACAATGGTGCATCCTGTACAATAGTGAAATAGTAAAAAATATATAAAAACCTTTATAGCAGTAAATATAGAAATTAAAAAAAATAGTAAATATAAATAAATTTGTTAAAAAAACAATTAAAAAAAAGTAAAAAAACAATTCAAATTACCTTCAATATTATCTTGATGTAAATTCCAATCAGATTGATGTTGTAAAGTCGATTTAGACCTGGAACCTCCATCTAATACAAATATTCAACATAATAGATAATTCAAAATTTAAATATTATTTACGTTATAAATTCTGCATTTCAAAATTTAACAAACAATGTGAAAACAACAACTATATTTTAAATATATAATCTCTTTTTCATAAAGTTTTTATTTTTGTGGATAATATAAGAATAATGAATTGAAGTTGTTAATTATCAACTCTGAGTTTTACAAAGTAAAAAATCTACAACTCTGTTTTAAAATTTTAATATCTAATATCAGTCTTCTCCATTCGAAATTTAATGCATGCGCACAAAAAAGCGCTGGCAGGATGGTCATTTTTAAGTCAGCCTGTTTGATTTAAAAAATTTATTTTTTAATTTTATCTAAATTAAAAAAAAAATTGCGAAAAGAATGCTTTGAATAAATACTATATGGAATAATTTTAAAATTTGGTAAGATAAGCCATTTTTTATAAAAGTTGCACAAATGAACAAAAAAGTTTATTTTTTTGGCAAGCGCTTTTTTATGTGCTCGTCAAAGTTTTTGTGGGCATATGGGTGAGAGCAAAAAGACTTGGGCACGAAAGCACTGGCTAAACGAAGAAGACTGATATATATATATATATATATATATATATATATATATATATATATATATATATATATATATATATATATATATATATATAAGGGTGTCCCAAAAAAAAGAAAAAAAAAGCTCTCTACTGATTCCCATTCTATGTGACCTATATAAGTACTAAAAAAAATTTGACGGTTTTATTTTGACAGGAAGTGCTAGATGTAAAATCTGAGTTTTACTGTTTTAATGTTAAGCTGGCTTAACATTAATAGAAAACACATTTTTTTTATCCTTCAACTGCGGCACTTCTTTTTCTGTCAAGATATTACTGATATCTTTGGTCATATAAAGACCAGACTCTTTATATGTAGATGTAGATCGCATTTGCTAAAAACCTTGCCTCGTGGCAGGTACCAGGCTGATGGAACTTAAAATCTTGTACTTCCGCTCCAAGGAAGAAGGCAAGCTTACAAACTATACCATAATCATTTCTTTGAAAACACCATACCAGTAGTAGCATTAGTCAAAAATTTCTTAGCCTCCTCTGCAACAGTGCAAAGAACAGATCCAATCTTCAGATCATCTCTTTGCCAGTCCAATTTACATAAATTTTTCACTTCATTAACTTTCTCACAGATTTCAGGTCACTTGTTCTTTAGCTTGACATAAAAAGCTCTTCTAGGACCTTTAGTTTTCTCACCAGTAAGAGCAGCCATATAGTGAGATACATGTACTTCATATATGTGTCTCCTACACATTATCCACAAAATTGGCATTTTCAAAATATCTGTAAGAATTTGGACTGCTCCATTGACTCCGTCTGTATTGCTTTCAATTTTATCACAGCATATACCAATGATCTGCTCTTTACATCTGTAATATTCTAAAAGATTATGCACTTGTTCTGCTTGGTCAATTCCCTTTGAAGAGGGACATTGAACAACACATAAAAGATGGTCTTCCATGGTTGTAGTCTCAGTGAGTTCCCATCCGGGGAACTCACTGAGACTGCAAGTTGCTCGATTTTTTGAATAATGTTAAGCCCAGTGGTAATTTGTTACAACAGTTTGGTATCAAAATGAAGAATAAGCCTTTAAGATGATTAGTTAATGAAATCCACTCCAAATCTCCTTCAAGTTCTACATATTTGAACTTTTTTCTATGAAGTGTGCTTCGTGAAAGCGGTATATCATTAATGTCTATACCTCCAGCTTTAAATACTTCACTTAAAATTGCCAGATGAGGTCGTACACCAACATTGAACCTTGTTGCTGGAATAGCAGTACATTCAATGAGCTTTTCAACATTCACTGCTAGATTTATCCTATCTCCAGAATTGTACCTAGATATCATTTTATAATACTTTTCTACCTATTTATAACTATATACTTTTCAATAAAACAGTTTTAGCTTGTGAAAATTACAACTATGTTATTAAAATAATACTTTACCTGCGTTTCTGACCGTTACCTAGGAAATCTTCTTCCTCGCTGATTTCAGAGTTCTCGTTTGGCTTTCCTTCTTCACTGCTGAATTGAATCCCTTCTGTCATGGAGTCATGTGACAACAAAACATCATTAATATCTTTTATGTTTTTCTGTCTCTCTAATTCTTTTTTTCTCAACTTATCTAGCTTGTTCTTTCTCCTGTTTGCATCTAATACTCTCCTACTGTAGTCTTCGTCAACGTTTGTTCCCATATATCCTTTCCTTTTCAACTTTTGGTCTTCATAAAAACTAAGAAATAGTTCTATTAAGACATTTATAAATAAATTATTAACTGTTCTAGTTTTTCCTGGAAGATGGCCAAACCATGGAAGGAATTAAACATAAATATTTTAAAGGAAATAATATGCTATTACTTAAGTTACTTTAAATCGGAAAAAAAGTCTCACTACTAAAAAAGTGTTATTTAATGAACTTACTTTATATCTTCCAGCTTGGCATCATATGTTCTCAATCTATTAGCAAGAATATCTTTTTTAAAATTCTTAGTGGATATGCCAAAAAGCTGATAGGATTCTGTGAGAAAATCTTTCGCTAACTTTGATTGCTTATCAAGGCTGCTGTTCCATTTAGGAGAAGACAATTTAATCAATTTCTTATATTTTAGATTAAGTTTAATAATTTTGGTCTTTATATTGTACCCAGAAATCACAAATTTCTTGCCAAACCCAGCATTATTCCAAATTATTTTAATTCTAGTTACCAAGCAAGAGTTATCAGGATCTGTACAAACACCATTTTCAAAAACAAGATCCTTGGATTTCGATTTCAATTTGCAACCAACATTAGTAGAAGTGGGTTTGTATTTCGCAAAGGATAAATTGATAGTATCTTTGAATATCACCATTAGATGGAACCTGTCTCAGAGGTAAACCCCTCAGTAGGTACTTCAATAGGTAAATATACCTCAACCTTTCTGTATTTTTCTGTTTTTTCTTATTTTGTCCTATCATCTTCTTTTTTTTAGCTGCTCTTCCCATTTTTATATGAATTTCGAAATAATCAGTTTTTTAACTAAGTTTATATTAAATTTTACACTTGCATTAAAGATCTATGAAGTTTTATTCCCTCTCGTATCATATTTTATCTGAGTTTACCGTTAAGGCTTTTATAACCATTTACACAAGAATCTCTTTGTGCACAATTTCCTTCGTGCACAAATAATTCCAATTTGAAATTTTTTCCTTAAAAAAAATTCCTAAATAGAGTTATTTGTGAACTAATCCATGAGGAATTATACCAACTATTAATATTGTCCAGAGGGAATTATATCAATCGCTAACAATGTTCATAGGGAATGATCCTATTCTTTAATAATGTCCTATGGGAATTATTTGTGTACCAATTATTACATCATTAAAACCTATTGAAATACTAGATAGTGCTGTTTTTATGTAAATACATATGTGTACAATACTGTAAAACTCAGAATTTACATCTACCACTTCTAGTCATTAAAAAATAAAAATAAAAGATTTTGATAACTATTTAGGACCTATAGAATGGGGATCAGTGGAGAGCACATTGAAATTTTAAAAAAAGTATGTTTTTGGGACACCCTGGTATATATACATATATATATATATATATATATATATATATATATATATATATATATATATATATATATATATATATATATATATATATATATATATATATATATATATATATATATATATATATATATATATATATATATATATATATATATATATATATATATATATATATATATATATATATATATATATATATATATATATATATATATATATATATATATATATATATATATATATATATATATATACACACATATATATATATATATATATATATATATATATATCCAAATATTTAATCATAAAACTTAAAAAAATTCAAAATTATTTATAATTTTACAAAATTAGTGTCACTTTTATAGTTTTCATAAAATAAACAAATAAAGCAATATATATATATATATATATATATATATATATATATATATATATATATATATATATATATATATATATATATATATATATATATATATATATATATATATATATATATATATATAATTAAGTATAAATATAATGAAGTAATTTTTTTTTAGTTACTTTTTACAAAAATTTTTATAACTGTATTATTTTATTGAATCAAGTAGAATACGTTTTAATATTAATCCATTTTATTTATTTTTATTTGCGCTTACCAACTTTTAAAAAGTTTCCTCAAAATTACTCTTAAATACTTTAAATACGTCTAACAGTTAATAAACATTTTTAAATCTATGGAATAATTTTAAAACCTAACAAACACTCGTAAAATAATTATTTAAGTTAAAAATCTAAAACTAAAAGAAAGTATTTTTGTTTAATTTTATCGACAACTTTGCTATTGCTGAATAATTTTATTAAAATGTTAGCTTAAAAAGATTCAAACTTTTTTTTTAATCTGAATTTTTTCTACTCGTAAATAATGAGCATATTTGTTTTTTTTTGTAATTCAAACTTTTATATTTTTAAACTTTATTAAATCTGAAAATAATCGTAAAATACTTCATTAAAATTCCGCTAAAAAATATCTTTAAATATACTCAAACAAAAAATATTTTGCTCGACGCAAATAGCCCTAGCTACACGCAAAATCGCTCTTGGATTACGTAAAATTCACATCGCCCAACGCTTTATCGCAAGGCCTGTATATATAGATAGCAACCAAAATAAAATAAAACAAAATAGAAAAAAAGAACAATAATATTTAAAAAAGCAAGTCAAATAACACAAAAAGTTAAATAAACTGACACGAGAGATAACGAAAGAATGAGATAATACAACATTTGACAATCAAAAGAATTGTAGAAAGTAAAAATAAAACAAAAGGATATTTTTAAATATTATGTGACAAAAAATAAGAAATAACTTGAATAATAACAACAAACAGAAACAAAA